CAGCGGCAATCGAACAAACTGACTACAGTACCAGGATCAAATGAGCAAAAACCCCTGCACTTGAGGAGAGCATGAAGCTCGCCAACTCAACTCCCAGAGGCCAATGCCAACAGAAACAGAGCCTTGGAAAAACAATCTTGAACTGAAGGGGCCACCACAAACCGAAAAAGAGAGAAAAGAGAGGACCCTGTCCAAGGATCAGGAAGGCTCAGATGGCGCATAAGCAGGCAGGAGGTGAAACAAAACATGAGAGAGCCTACAAAACGGGGCGGAAGTGACATCCACCCCGAACACAAGCTGAAGCGGCTCCGCCAGTACTGCTCGATACGAGGCGACAGTCCTGAAAAAACCAAGAGAGAAAGAACAAGACAACCCAATCAGAAATAAAAGACAACCTACAAAAAGACAAAAAATGGCAAAAAGATCCCAAGAAACTTCATACTGTCGCCGAGACGAAGCTCACAGGTGGGACACCATCAACGAAGCCACCTGATCACCATACAAGTGGAACCAGAACAGACGCTGAAGCCAAACCCGACCCGGTGGGTAAACTAGCATGCCGACTCACACCACTGCTCGCGCAACTGCAGAGTGACCCCAGGAACCCCGGGTCACCAGAAACACCTGAAGATGAGACCACAGCCTCAACAACACTTCCGGAGGAAGAGACAAGGTAGCAAACCAAGAATCCACCACAAAAAGGCCCAGCCAGGTCCAAATCTCTGACAAAACCAGATGGAACTTCCACCAGTTCACCAGGAACTTGAACCCGGTGAGTTGGAAAAGAAGAATACCCCTGGTGAGCACACAAGCAGACCGGCTGGGAGCCCACACCAACCAGTTGTCGAGGTAGGCCAGAACCTGAACCCCCCTAGCAGACGCAGACGGGTCACCACGACCCAGGTATGATGCATGAATATGCGAGGTGTCAGATTCAAGCCAAAAAGGAAGGCAACCAAAATGGTAAATTTACTGCCCCACCACGAAATCTAACCAGTTCCTGAACCACAGAAGAATGGGAATGTGCCAATACGGGTCCCGGAGGTCCAGACACACCATTCAAGCAGCCGGCTCCTGAGACAGAGTGGTCATCCGAAAGGAATGGCAAGGAATCCAGGGGTCCAGACGGGACAAGTCCAAAATGAATCATAGATCCACGCAGTCCTGTTTCGGCACTGGAAACGGGCAGGACATTAACCTGAGGGAAGGGGTTGTTTCGACCATGCCCCAGTGCACCCATTCCAAGATGACTCAATGGAGCGCAGGAGATGAAGCCTGCCGTGCCAACCCGAAACCTCCCGAAGGAGGAGGAGCCGCCCAACACCACAACAGGCAGGAGAAGATGACCCAAAACGTTCAGGAATCGTGGGACCAGGTGTGAGCAAACAGAGCGAGTCTCCTCCCCATCGCCCCGTCAATGGAGCGACCTGCAAAAGGGCCGACGCCCCTTGCGAGAAGCCGGCTGATGAGCAGAGCAAACATCACGCCAACCAGACAATGCCAGCTCAGAAACTGGCACCAATGGCCCACCCTGACCGGAGGAATCCCAAGCCCTGGCACAACCCTTCCGGGAGGCCGAGAACGGCCACCCCGGAGAACCAACAAGTCTGATGAAGGAAGACAACTAGACGATGCAGTCTCTGCAAACAGCAACGGACAAAAGGCGATGAAAACCTGAGAGCAAGAGCCCAAGCGGATTCTAAGGAGAGAGTGAGCAGAGCCTGCTGGCACACGAGGCAAGAAGCAAAGAACAGAGACACCGCCTCCTTGAGAATCGGCACAAACAACTTCAACAGTGCAGTCGACTCCCGAGTCGCAGTGGCCAGCGCACCAGACCCCGGCCCAACAATCAATACCTCCACATCCTCCTCAAGCCGGTATGAAGACAGCTTGAGAGGGAAAAAGAAGCACAAGACCGAAGCCATATGCCCTCGAGCACGCAAGTCCTCAGCTACCAAAGATGCCAAAAGGGTGGGAACCTGCACGTGCAGCTGTACCAGGCCAATATCTCGAGGAAGCACAGGAGCGAACAAGCACGCATTAAGGCACTCAAACTTGTCACTTGGATAAACCTGCAGAATGGTAGCAGCCTCCTGCCATTCGAGCATGCGGGGTCCAACAAAACTCATGCCACGCCCCCCCTGCGAAAAGAATGGGCTGTCTGCCAGCCAAGAAGACTCCGGGACCTCGTAATACACCCAATACGAGGAAGAAGAACTAAACTCAAACGAGGACAGATCCATCACAGAGGCAGAAAACCTTCAGAAGGAAGGAGCCAAGGAACACTAAGGAACCCCGAGACTGAAACCAGGGAGGAGCCGACTCCATATCATACTCCAACAGGGAAGGGGGGGTAAGAAAACCCCTCCCCTGCAATAACAAGTCCTGCAAAGCAGGCACCAAAACCTAAGTGGGATCAATGGGGGCCCAAGCCCCCCAGGTCAACTCCTTCCAAACCAGGACCCGGGGCAGAGCTGTCCTCCACGCCCTCTACCCCAGAAGCCTCGGCAGGAGGAACAGGCTTGAATGCCTCCATCCTCAACTCGAATGGGGCAGCCCCTGAAGCCGCCTGAGCCTCATCACCAACTAAACCTCGCCCCAACTCCGAAACCCTCAGATGCTTCGGAGCAGGGAGAACAATAACAACTGGGGAAGGAGTGGGGAGCATGGACTGAACCAGAGTCGAAGCGACTAACGTCCCCAAAGTCTGGGTCTCTATAACCAAAATGGGGCAGCATCGGGGCATCTGAGCAGGCAACCAACGTAGCACATTGTAGCATTCTAAATCAAGCATGCAATGAGGATGCCACCTGTACCCAAACCTCAATGTTTACAGAATGGGCAAATTGGAGCACGAGCAGAGAACATGTCTCGCAAGACTCCAGGTCAAAGATGTCGTTGACCCAACAGGCAGCATGATGGAGGCAAAACAGGTGACTGTCACCCTGAAAGAAGGGCCCAGAACAACCTTCAAACTTGCACAAGGCGAGCTGGAACTCTGATGACGCATCCATTTGTCCGCTGAGCCCCGACGGGGTTTTTCCAGGGCCCGTAGGTTGACTGCTACGGGAAGGCCAGGCAAGGTGCTGCAAAGCCGGTTAAACCCAAGAGCTAACAAAGGGGGATGAACTAAAACAATATAATCCCTGCGACATTTACAATCACAGGGGCCTAGACTAGGGCCACCAAAATATCGTAAGTGAACCAATAGCCAAACAAGGCAGACCCTTCCGGGCAAAGAAAATAAAAATAAAAGAAAAACGTCGCAAAAGTACAACGTCTCCAGAAGGAACAGGAACATAGCCGCTGCATAGGTAGGCAAGCTACGCAGCACCTTGCACCCCAACCAGCAACAATACCACTTACTACTCAAGCCCAAACAAACCCCCACAAAACCCCAGCTGGCCCCAAGGGTGGGGTAAATGCCAAGCAGCAAGAACCCCAAGGGAAGTGGAGTCCTGAAGGCACCATGGAAGGGAACCCTAGCACCCAGGGGTAGTACTTACAGGGTGCTTAGGGATGGCAGCCCTAAGCGCAAGCAGCCCCAGTACACTGATGTTACTCCTGGCCACCACACAACACAGCAGGAAACACCACTAAGGCAAAACACTGCCAAGAAATCGAGGCCAGAGTTGACGATTGCCCCAGATTGCATCAGCCAATGAACTGGGGCTGGCGCGGGGTCTGGGCTCCCCTCTCCCCCCCCTCCCAGGAAGGGGAGGGCTGTGTTGACAAGCAGCGCAGCGGCAAGGTAACACTTGCTTGTTTCCTTGAGAGTTGGAGTTCTGCTTCCCTGTTTGGTCTTCGGTTGCAATTTTCTTACCAAATGGGGTTTGTTTTGTTATGTCTACTTTTCTGGGTGCCTAACTAGTTGATGGCAGACAAGGAATACCCCCAACCACAGGTTTTTTTTCCAGAGGCCATTGCTCCCTGCGCCTCTGTGAGAGGGGCCAGGTTCAGGCTCGTGGTCCCCGGTAGGCTGAACTCCATTGACTAATGCCTAGACTAATACTGTCTATTGCATATCAGTTCGATAGCTCCAGGCAGCCGAAGGGACTCCGCACTCCCAGGGATGCAGATGGCCTATTAGCCCAATATCTACCCAAACTCTTTCATAAATATATGAAAGAGGGTGGATATAAATTGGAGCTGCCTTGTATGAACAGTAGGCCTTTTGTAGTTCCTTTATCATTCATGTTCAAATGACGATTGTTTGACCTGGTACTGACCTATACAGTACTTCAGTACAACCATATGAACATTTTGATGACCAAACCACACATCATAAAATGAGGGAATGGCAATGGGCCATCCTGGACCATTATCAAGTCAGGTCCAGGACGGACCAAAATGTCATCATTCCTTCATTTTTTTGTGTTTGGTCATTATATCTTCAGCCACGTAATTGTGACTCATCGTCTGCATATGAACATCATCTCTATACATATTATTATGATTTTTTGTACCATGATTACATCATTGGAATGGTAACATATTTGAGACGATAACCGAATTTGTACAGAAAGCAATCAAAACAATAACAGGATTGTTTTATGGACCATGGTAAACTCCATTACATTCATATAGAAATATCCATATTAACATCATTGGTATAAAACCCAGACAACAATAGTTTAAATCAATGTATAATAATAACTGCATTACTCTGTGAATCAATGTATGATAACTGCCTTACCCCATGAATCATCATATGACAATAACCACACTTTAAGAGTTAAAAACTATCAAGCAAGACTGAAGAACATAAACAGACAATGTGGCAACAACTAAAGACTACTGAATTGCAAATTATACAATTCAAAGAGCATAGTATCCATTGCAGAACATGCAATTAAACACTGGCATTTCTTCACTCAACTATAAATTAACACTCCAACTAAAAAGTATAAGAGCAATGAACTAGCAGCAAATGTAGTGGAAGGAACAGAACAGAAGCAAGCAGAAGTCAGGACCTAGGATGAGTGCAACTGACCACATACCATTCCAATAGAACGAGTGCAGTGGGGAGGAGGAAGCTGGGGTCCTACCAGAAAGCTCTGAATCGGTGTGGTGAGAAGCATCAGGTGGTGTGGTGCTGCGTGTTGGCGAGCCAACACAGCATGTGGCACAGCAGGCATGAAGCTGGTGGTGGTGGTGGTGGTGGTGGTGGTGGTGTGGGTGAAGATGGTCCCCGCCATCCTGCAAACCTGACCTTTGGGACTTGCTCAAACTTTCCAGCTCTTCTATTATCTGCATTGAGGAAGATGAGAGGGCTAAATTAAATTGCAGCGTACAAACTTTGATTCTGTAGGAGTGTGTATCGTGTAAGAAACCTTATCCAGCAACTTCCTCATCACCCACCAACATTCACCCCCACACTTCACTTTCTAAGGGGTCTACTTTTCAACAACCCAAGAGAGGCTTAACACCCAATCCATAGAGACAGGCTTAACACTCAGCCCATAGAGACAGGCTTAACACTCAGCCCATAGAGACAGGCTTAACACTCAGCCCATAGAGACAGGCTTAACACTCAACCCATAGAGACAGGCTTAACACCCAACCCATAGAGACAGGCTTAACACCCAACCCATAGAGACAGGCTTAACACTCAGCCCATAGAGACAGGCTTAACACTCAGCCCATAGAGACAGGCTTAACACTCAGCCCATAGAGACAGGCTTAACACCCAACCCATAGAGACAGGCTTAACACCCACCTGCAGCAATGACATATTAAGTAAGCTGTGTACTCCCCTTTCTCAATAATTAAGTGCAAGTATTACATTTCCTTTCATATTCATGACTCTCTTACCATTTTCCTCAGTCGAGAACAGAACATTATTATGAATTTTTCCGAGAGGACTCCTAGTAATTCCCTGAACTAAACATTTAAATATTATATGGTACAGTTCTAAGATATATACACTTCAAGTTTGAGTGATTTTTTAACCATTCATGCAATATAAATAGAGTGCTCAGATTCGTGCAGCATAAATAACAAAGTGGTCACAAAACATAACTAACGAAGATAACATTTTAAAGCAAGATTACTGGGAAAATAATCTAGCACCAATTCATTGTGCACATTAATTTTCTTGAAAATCTCTCGAGATCTACTCCTATTGATAATGTGTTAAAATGGTTCCAATATCTTCCACTAGGGCTACATTGCGCAATAACAATAAGTACGTTACAATATACACAGAAATCAAAATAGCGTGATATATCAAATGAACAAATTCACAAGGGACAATGTCGTGGTACAGGTGACTAAGGTGCATCTGGGAACATCCCATGTGTAGGTTCGAACCCTCATCACGTCCCTTGTGGATTTGTTTAATAAATAACTTTCTCAGACATAATTGGCGAGTTTCAATTTCATGATAGTGTTCTCCAGATATTGCACAAGATATAATTATGTTTAAACCACAAGGTATCCACACCAGGTACACTGCATTGCAACTAGTGCTGTAAACACAGTACGACCAGCTTAAGGTGTAGGCTGCCAGGTTTGTATGACTAACAACTACTGTATACACATTATGCAATAAATGAGCAAGACACCCCATATCAAGTCTGGGAGGAAGGTAATGATCATCTGCATTTTTGAGCACTTTGTACTAATATATAACACTAAATAACACTAACTCCAGTGCATTAGCAATGATTTTAAATACATCCTTATAATGTAGTGACATTTGATACAAAATCTCAGTAGAAAATTTGGATTATTGTTCTGGGTCTTTTAGAACAAAAAAATGGGGGCCAAACTATCTCTAATGCTGAGAATTCCCTATAAGGCATATAGTACAAACCTGAGAAAAATCTGGCCGCTCCTCCGGTATCTTGTGCCAAGCTTTTTCAAGGAGGACCGAGACTTCCACCGGGAATGCCAATTCCAGCGGTGGACGACTGTGCCTGAGAGCAAAAATTAAGCAAGTGATGTTCTTGAGATTCTAATTTAGATGAACGTACTGTAGTGGAAACAGGAAAGGATGCTAGTAATGGTGTAATATGTTCAAAGGTGTTTTGATACTTATTGAAAATGACCAGAGCCTGTTTTGAATGATTTGTACATTTCAATCATGTCCTGAATGGCAACAGCACTGAGGACTAAAGCTGGAGAAGACAAAACTAAAGCTACTCTCAGAGATCAGACCCACAAGGAAAGGAAACTAACCCCTCCCCTCCACTCCTCCCCAAGGAAGGCACTAGATCAACAGTCTGAATGACAGAGAGCAAATTCCTGCAGAAGACAGATGCACAAAAGTACCGTCAAGATCACCGCAAACTCTGACACTATAAAGGGCGGGTCTTGCAAGCTGTGAGGCAAAAAGACACTGACCATTGAGGGACCAATCCAACAGCTCCAACACCTAAGATTGCATATGTTTGGCCTAGGATAGCTTACTCAAGCCTAGGATAGGTTAGGTTAATGGGTAGTCTGTTTCAGTTTTAGTTAAGCCTTTTAGAATGCCAACTCTACAAAATGTGGGTATAACAGTCGATATTTTGTGCACTCCATCCATAGTAGTTGTAGGCACTATCATATTTGGAGGATGAGTTGGTTAAAAACAAAGCCGAGTACGTAACTCACCTGTATGCCATGTCAGCAGCAGCAGCAGCAGGTTTCAAGTGAGCAAATGGAAGCTCCGAGGCCAGAAGCTCCCACAAGCACAGTCCAAAAGAGAATACATCAGCTTTGATTGAGTACCTAGTGCACTACAGAGAGAAACTATATTAGATAGGATCTATAACAACCTCTGTAGGTTAGAACACAATGACATAAGCAGAGAAGTGAAAAGCTCAAGGTAAACATTGACAGGAATGCAGGCGATGAGTCACAATAACGTGGCTGAAGTAAGTTGACCAGACCACACACTAGAAGTTGAAGGGACGACGACGTTTCGGTCCGTCCTGGACCATTCTCAAGTCGATTCGAGAATCGACTTGAGAATGGTCCAGGACGGACCGAAACGTCGTCGTCCCTTCAACTTCTAGTGTGTGGTCTGGTCAAATTGACAAGAATAATGTCCTTATATCATATGGAGATTTTGCACCTCTAGCAAAGGCTACAAGTCCCAATTTTAATTGGAAGCTTTATTTTACAACCATGTGTTTTAATATTGAAGTAAATGTGAAGAAGCCTTCTCAAATATCCAATAGCTATGGAGTTGAAAAATATATACATGACAAAACTAATTTTTGTAATACAATACATATTGTTTATTTACTTCTGGCAACTTAAGCTTTTCAAAAAACGAACTAGTGTGTCGTAGTTGTATCAGTTACCTGTGTAAACACCTCAGGAGCCATCCAGCGAAGATTGCCCGGTTGCTTTGTCATGTTTTCCTCAAAGATGTTACGCACAAATCGAGACTCTCCAAAATCAGCAACTCGAGCGTGGCACTGTTGATAACTTAGATTTAGTTTAATTAAAAAAATATATATATACAGTACTAATAAAGATTTCCTAAATTTTCTTAATTTAGATTTCTTAAAAAACTATTTTCAGATTTCCTAAAAACAATTTGTCAAAAGTAATCCAAGACACTTTTAACCAAAGTTCAGTTTTATAAGTGTGATAATGCTGATACTTTAATTGTTTTTTTCATGTTTTGGGTGCAAAATTATCAAATTTTTCTTCATATATTTTTTTATTGCTGCATGAGAATTGGCCTGTTATATTACTGATATTTTCCTGCACTGGTATGGGAACCATCTGCCAATGTTCAAACATTAGAATACCAGACAATTACCCTATTAACACTTTCGCGCTCTCGGCGCTCAAAAAAAAACAATACCCCAGATGCTTTCGGCACTTCGCGCGCCTACGCGGTAAGACCGAAAAAGTGTACACTCTTTTGACTGTCCTGACAATAATTGAAGGCGCACGTATTTAAATTTGGTATCACTGTGTTCGCAATGAAATTGTCTATAAGAGCATACCTATAAAATGCCGCCCAAGCATAAGAAGTATCAACACCAAATAAAAAACTATGCAGATCACTCGCCGAGAGCGCCAAACAGCAACAAAATGTTTCCACTCTCTTAATGGTTGCGAAGCCTACAGTTGTCCTACATCGCTAATTTTGGTATCATTGGAATCGCAATAAAATTCTCTACACGGACATATGCATATGAATGTTTAATATAGGTAATTGCCCACCCGCAAGAGTGTGTGAAGTGGAGAGTAGTTAGCCGCGAGCGCACTGGCGAAAACACAGGTGGGAAATCATGCTTGGAAAGTTTATACGTTTCCTGACCCTACTTTTCTATGTACGTATTTCTTTTTTATACCAATGTGTTCGCAATAAAATTTTCTATAAGATGAACTGTATAACATTTGTACAAAGCATGTGTAAGAGAAGCGCCAAATATAGAACCACGTCGCTCAGTATGCGTTCGCGGCAGAAACGAACGCATTGTTTTCGTTCGTTTGATGTTTGTCATGTTTATACTTGTTGAAACATTTTATAATTTGTATGACAGTGATCGCAGTAAAATTCCCTACACAGACATATACATAACACATACAAATATTTCCCACGTGTTGGATATATCAACGGCTAAAGGGAACCCACTGCCACACGCTCGCCACACCCCCAAACATACTTTGTGTATTTTTTTTTTACTCATAGAAGTTTATGAGATATAATATTCATTCTGGTACCAAAACATTCGCAAATAAATTCTCTACAAAACAAAAGTATCCCCATCCATTTCGGTTAAAAAATGGAATTTATAGAAATATTTTTTCGATTGACGAGAAAAGTAGGCAGTTATGCGGAATCGTAAGAAAAACCAGTGACGAGTTATCTCTAATATAAAGCGCGAAAGTGTTAAGATCAAAACTTGCCAAGTAGGTGATGAACTCGGATAGTCACAACACAAGTTTTGTTTTCATGGAGAGTGAGAGGTATTGTTTAAACTCAAAATATTCTAAACAAAAAATGGTTTCTAAAGTGCTATACTATCCAAGTCAATACCAGGAGGTATTCTCATATTACACAGAAGCCATGTACAATCCATAATAAAGCTGTGAGTACTGTACAGTATGTATGTATGTATACAAGTAGCCTTGTACCTTGCATGTAACCAATGTTGTAACCCTTTATGTGTAATGAAGTTCTAAATAAAACAAAATTTATATATATTTATATATATATATATATATATATATATATATATATATATATATATATATATATATATATATATATATATATATATATATATATATATATATATATATATATATATATATATATACAGTATATGTATATATATATATATATATAATATATATATATATATATATATATATATATATATATATATATATATATATAAATACTGTACTTGTATATATAATTCTGGGGGAAGCCCCTTCAGCTCCCTGGAGCTATCCACGTTGATATGGATATTATTTGACTTTTGCATCAGTGTGAATTGAGTTCATAGGCCTACCGGGGATCACAAGCCAGAACCTGGCCCCCCTCAGAGAGGCACGCGGAGCAATGGCAAGGGATGGATGGATGGAGGGAGGGAGGAAGGGAGGGATGGGTGTTGAGTTGAGGTGAAGCAGAGAGAGCGTGTGTATGGGATGTAGGGGGGGGGGGGCTGGTGGGGGAGGGGTGTCGGTGGTGGGGAAGGACCGGCTCACTCTGATAAGCCTAACACACTTGACCCAGTTAACTAGATTTGTTTCTTAAATTTTGGATATACTATACATTATCATGTAACAATTATCACAAAAACACTGATCCAAGAATGCAGAATAACCACATGTGAAAAATAGAGAATGCTTAACGGGTTTTCGGCTAATTCGCCTTCATCAGAGCAAAGTAGAATGTAGAATGAATGATGAAAAGATCTTCATTCTACTTTGCTCTGATGAAGGCGAATTAGCCGAAAACGCATTAAGCATTCTCTATTTTTCACATGTGGTTATTCTGCATACATTATCATATATATTTTTCGTTACAGATTTTGTTCAGTAATATTATTAGGATAATAAAAAGTTATAAAATACTTGTTTCATGAATGCTTTATTGTATTAGATGGAGATTCTCCAGGCTGTCTCTGGCTGGCTGGCAGTCTACTGAGCCATTTCCCAGAAGGGTCTTGGGGAAGGGGGGGGGGGGGAGGCAGGAAGTGAGGGTGTGGGGGAGAGCAGGAGTGAGGGAGTGGAGGAGAGGTGCAGTGAGGGTGAGGGAGGGGACGATAGTGGTAGGCGGTCTGCTTGCCATGTGAGGACCCCCTGATACCAAAACAAACCCAATGCCAACCTTCCGTAATATCGACCACCAGACCGTTATAAGAAACTCTAAATACCGGTCTCCCAAACTGGTCATTATTACTGGCAGATCGGTATAAAAGAGGTTAAATTGAGTGGATACTGTATATTATATTATATTATTATATAATACTGTGTGTGTGTGTGTGTGTGTGTGTGTGTGTGTGTGTGTGTGTGTGTGTGTGTGTGTGTGTGTGTGTGTGTGTGTGTGTATATATATATATATATATATATATATATATATATATATATATATATATATATATATATATATATATATATATATATATATATATATATATATATATGTCGTACCTAGTAGCCAGAACGCACTTCTCAGCCTACTATGCAAGGCCCGATTTGCCTAATAAGCCAAGTTTTCCTGAATTAATATATTTTCTCTAATTTTTTTCTTATGAAATGATAAAGCTACCTATTTCATTATGTATGAGGTCAATTTTTTTTTATTGGAGTTAAAATTAACGTAGATATATGACCGAACCTAACCAACCCTACCTAACCTAACCTAACCTATCTTTATAAGTTAGGTTAGGTTAGGTAACAGAAAAAGTTTGGTTAGGTTAGGTTAGGTAGGTTAGGTAGTCGAAAAACAATTAATTCATGAAAACTTGGCTTATTAGGCAAATCGGGCCTTGCATAGTAGGCTGAGAAGAGCGTTCTGGCTACTAGGTACGACATATATATATATATATATATATATATATATATATATATATATATATATATATATATATATATATATATATATATATATATATATATATATATATATATATATATATATATATTTATTTAAATTTGTGAGGGTACCACCTCTGGTGCCAATGTGGGGACCCATAGCCTCGGAGAAGAAAATAACAAGTATTCAGAGGAGACCTTGTGGTTTCTCACTGAACACTAATATTATCTTCTACCACCCCCATTCTTTTGTATGTACATATATATATTTGCTTTATTTGAACTTTGTTACAGTAATTAATTGCTTGTTTAAAAATGTAAAGATTACTAACCTCATTGTCGAGAAGAATATTATGGGAATTTAAATCTCGATGAATAATTGGTTGAGGGAGTGTGTGAAGATAATGCATGCCTTTGGCCACATCAATAGCTATATTGAACCTTGTTATAGTGTCAATAGACCTCTTCTGTTCATGGAGTGTACTGAACAGGGAGCCCCCAGGAACAAACTCAGTAACAATTGCAAATTGCTGCAGAAAAACATATACAGTAAGTTATTTCTAAAATTTTATCAATTAAATAAACATATGTATATTTTGCTCATCAAGCAACTAAATATAAATTATTTGCATATGACCAATCATAATAAATATTTGTGCATTAATATCTAAATTCCGCTGCAAAGCAATGTGGAGCATCCTCATAATAATAGTTAATGGTAGTAAAATATACTTAAGTCCTATTTCTACAAAGAAAGATGTTATCTATATTGGGTTAGGGTGACAAATGGTTTTCAGCTGTGGTCATTGGGCACCTATGGAAAAAAAATCCTGGACTGTATACAATGGATAAAACTAAATAAAAAATAATAATTACTAGACTTGATAATGGTCCAAGACGGACTGAAACACTGCCGTTTCTCCATTTTCTCATGTGTGGTTTGATCGTAAATAAAAAATAAAAAAATAAAAATATGTATACAATGAGTTCCTTTCTAAGGTGGTGGCTTTGTCACTCCATTAGGCAACATAGGGTATACCACTTGCCAGGAACGTGGAAAACATGACTGCATCAGTGGCCCTTTCTTGTCTTCTCAAAATGTCTGCCAGACACCAGCTGCAGAATGTCTCATTCCTGCCCTCAATGACTTTCAGACGATGCATTCCACTATACATGAATTAAAAAATCTCCTTAAAGTAATATTTGACACCAAAAGATTATAAATCTTTGCAAGGGAGGCTCTGTAAACTACAGCTGTTGCCATTTGGTGGTGCATAGTTGTAGTGGTTGGTGGAATATTTAATGAATGAATTATTAAATATTCCACAGACCACCAACAAATGGCAACACTTATAGTGTACAAAACTTTACTTCCATCCCAACACACCTCCAGGATAAAGGCTGTTCTTCGTTAGGCAAGAACCGCCACGTCTGCCAGGAAAAAGAGAAAACTGAAAAATTAGAATCGATAACTTACAGGTGCTGCAGAACTAGAGGTGACTGACAACCTCAGACCAGTAGACACCCAAGGCCCAACTCATCACAAAGGAAGAGATTAGTGGGAGAAGTGATTTGGGGAATTCTGACTTCTGGGATTTTATTATTTATTTTAATTATTATTAGTTAAATTTATTTAATGAATTCAAATTTATAATTAATTTCTTTCTTTCTTTCAGTAATGGACTGTATGTTTAATTGAGTGGACTGGATGGTATTAAATTCTCCCACAAGTCATATCCTAGCAAGTTGTGGGGGGTTATTAATTATTAATTATCAATCAAAAATTATCGAATGATAGAAAATTCACTATAATTGTTAATACTACTTGGGTTAATGTAAATTATTAAAAGCCTTATCTGACTAAAAGACTTCAACATTCAGATATAGGCGTAAAACACTTGGGTGGCTAGCCAGATTTGTGTTACGTGCTCATGGAGTCCTTGCGCGTCATGTGTTGCACCAAGTGCTCATAGTATCCATGTACGTCATGTGTTGCACCAAGTGCTCATAGTATCCATGTATGTCATGTGTTGCACCAAGTGCTCATAGTATCCATGTACGTCATGTGTTGCACCAAGTGCTCATAGTATCCATGTACGTCATGTGTTGCACCAAGTGCTCATAGTATCCATGTACGTCATGTGTTGCACCAAGTGCTCATAGTATCCATGTACGTCATGTGTTGCACCAAGTGCTCATAGTATCCATGTACGTCATGTGTTGCACCAAGTGCTCATAGTATCCATGTATGTCATGTGTTGCACCAAGTGCTCATAGTATCCATGTACGTCACGTGTTGCACCAAGTGCTCATAGTATCCATGTACGTCATGTGTTGCACCAAGTGCTCATGGCATCCATGCGCTTCACGTGTTGCACCAAGAGCTCATGGCATCCATCCATGTCACGTGTTGCACCAAGAGCTCATGGCATCCATCCATGTCACGTGTTGCACCAAGAGCTCATGGCATCCATCCATGTCACGTGTTGCACCAAGAGCTCATGGCATCCATCCATGTCACGTGTTGCACCAAGTGCTCATGGCATCCATCCATGTAACGTGTTGCACCAAGTGCTCATAGTATCCATGTACGTCATGTGTTGCACCAAGTGCTCATAGTATCCATGTACGTCACGTGTTGCACCAAGTGCTCATGGCATCCATGCGCTTGACGTGTTGCACCAAGTGCTCATGGAATCCATCCATGTCACGTGTTGCACCAAGAGCTCATGGCATCCATCCATGTAACGTGTTGCACCAAGTGCTCATGGCATCCATCCATGTCACGTGTTGCACCAAGAGCTCATGGCATCCATCCATGTAACGTGTTGCACCAAGTGCTCATGGCATCCATCCATGTCACGTGTTGCACCAAGTGCTCATGGAATCCATCCATGTCACGTGTTGCACCAAGAGCTCATGGCATACATCCATGTAACGTGTTGCACCAAGTGCTCATGGAATCCATCCATGTCACGTGTTGCACCAAGAGCTCATGGCATCCATCCATGTAACGTGTTGCACCAAGTGCTCATGGCATCCATCCATGTCACGTGTTGCACCAAGAGCTCATGGCATCCATCCATGTCACGTGTTGCACCAAGAGCTCATGGCATCCATCCATGTAACGTGTTGCACCAAGAGCTCATGGCATCCATCCATGTCACGTGTTGCACCAAGTGCTCATGGCATCCATGCACGTCAGGTATTGCAAAAAGTAGTTGTTGTTAATTTCTTCAGGTTGTCACGAATTACCCTATTTTGGGTGTTCACCCACCTCATGACCGATTTGTTATACCTGTACTTATATTAATTTAAAGGGCCCTGTAATAACAAGTAAATATATTGTCAGACCAGAAACGAGTTACTCCCGTAATGATGTGGTTACAGCAGTAGATTTACATCAAGATGGCTCGGGTTTGTGAGTACTGTATTGGCAGTACTGCTTATTGTGCGTCCTTACGGGATTGGATATAAATTTACAATAGTGTCCTCCCACCATCACCGGTCTAGTGACACCACCTGAAACTGGTTCAATTTTCGGTCCATTTATGGACAAAGGGAGAGAGGCGTTGATTTTATTTATTACAGTATTTTATTTGATCCAGTCATAGAAAATACTTTTTTATTGATTCTGATGCTAAACTGTTGTTTTAAGTGATTGTCGATATTTTAAGAGTATATTTTCTGGAGTAGCAATCAGTTCTCATTTTTTTTTTCCGGGAAAATGCCACAAGTCTAATATTATTGGCATGGGGTAAATAAAATAATGTTTTAATATGGGTTAATTTGTTAGTACAATAACAGCAACACTCAATTGCACATGTGAATAAAAAATGATTAGAGGATGTCGGTTTTTTCCCTACAAGTGATGCTCCAATAAAATAGAGACATGAAAGGTAATGGTGCGCAAAAGTACAATTCATCTTTCCAAAATTTCAAGGTATGTATGTCTACACCCAATATGGTGTAGAAGAAAGACTTGAGTCATGAATTTTTGTTGATCGTGGACCCAGAGATATGCCTATGGATGACTGTGCTGGACCAACCTAAGAAAATCATGAGACAGATGGGCCTGGGAATAAAGATGCATATACAGAATTGTGGATGTATGAATAATGCTGCAGGAAGCAAGTGACGGGTGTTATGATCCCAGGTAGCTGAGAAACGAGTCTACATTAAGAGTTATACAGCAAGACCTGATCTAAATAAGAGGTCACAGAAATATAGACATGAAGATACATACGTAAAACGATTGGGTAAATTGGACAGACAGTTTAAGAGTATGGGCAGTGATCAAGAATAGAAATGAAGGACTTGATATGAGATGTGGAGAGTTTGCTAGAAGTGTGAGGCTTGATTCTGGAGGGCTTTGACCCTCACTTGAGCACCAGACATCGTGAGGGGAAGCCGTGCTCCGTGTGAGCTCCTGTTACAGAGGAACCCCTAGTGGTTATACCTTCAAGAGGAAGGAAGTGTGCAGACGTTTCAGCTGTGGAATCAAGCTGGGAATGTGTGGTTTCAAGTCCTGGACAGCAGGAGTTGTGAGACCACCCAGAGACATTTTCCTGGGCCGTGAGAGCGCCCTGGTCAGGCTCCATCAGAGGGAGAGCACCCTGCAGGAGACCTTATTGTGGTAAGCCCAAATTTAACTAGTTTACAGTGATTGCCTATAGTTGATCGTGTGCCCAGCGATCGTAGCAAGTGTCTGTTGATATGTTAGGCATGTTTTGATAAGGCAAAAAGCCTAAATAAGAGAGTAAAGATGGAGGAACGTCCTGGAGGGCGGAGCGACGTTCGTCCCCTCCGACCACTTGTGGGTGACTGAGGGAGGATTAGCTCCTGACAGAGGTGCTGCCCCGCTGCGCCAGGTGGAGGATGGATTCGTCCTGGATGGGGAAGTCCATACTCACAGCATGTAGAAAGCAGAGAGATGTTGGGTGCAAACATTAATTGTGTGGTTTATTTTCCTTATGTGTTTATAGGGAAACATTTTTATTGGCGTGTCGATGGGTTGCAGGTTTGTCTGGGGAAGGAGTTGCTGAGACTCCAAGTTTGTGGAAGGTACTGAGCTCTGTGGAAGAGCAGTCATACAGTGAGGAGCAGGACTTCAAGCTGTGAGTAGAGGAGCAGTGAAGTCAAGTTTCACATGCTTCTGTGATACCAGTGGTGAAGCACAATTGTTGCTCAAGGAAGACTTCATGGTGTAGCAGCCGGGAGAGCTGTGGAGGACCCTGGTAGATGATTCTAGGAAAACCTGAAGATGTCAGGGTAGTGAGCTTCCAGATGTGGAAAGGAAGTTCCTATTGACTACTTGTAGGGAGTTGATAGTGTGTTTGGCTGTCATTATCGTGCAAGGCGCAGTGAAAGGTGGGTGATTGATTACCATTTTTGTGTCAAGGAGTACTTATACTGAAGTATAGAGTTATAACCGTAGGCTGGATTACCTGCAGAGACATACATGTGTGTTCTAGGACTGATAGGGTGATTGATTATTATTGTGTATCAAGGAATATTTATACTGATGCTTATGTTATTGCAGTAATAGGCTGATTTTCCTTGTATGTGTTTATATATATATATATATATTCTCTTGTTGATAGTGCAATATTGTCTTATGAGACTTGACCTACTTGGTGAGGTTGGTGGTATAAAGTGATGAGACAGCAGTTAGGCTACTACTTGATAGGCAGATGACAGAGTCCTGATGGTATTGGAGTGCAACCTGACTACAATAGTATAAAGTGTTGGAGTCATATTATTATACGTGTGTATGTATTGTGCATGTGCCTTGTCCAGTAAATGTATTCAAATTTGCCAGTGTTTGCCCTTGTCCTACCTAGTGAGGCTTCCCAGTAAGTAGAAAAGAGAGAGAGAAAGAACCACTGCTGTGGACAGGGTAGAACAAAATAATAATAAGAGAAAGGGGACTGAGGAGGTCATGCCAAATAAGGAGAGTGGGGGGAGTCATGTCGACTCGAGTGGGTGTGTGCATGTGACAACGAAGTCAGTATTGAAGCCACATCCCCTAAATGTGTGACGTTGAGCCCCTCTCCAAGTGCCAGAAGCACCCAGGGTGATCTGGTCAAAATAAGCACACTACGGAATTTGGGGTTGGTTGTCCGAAAGGAAGGACGGATAACCAACTGACATCAACAACATCATAATTAGATACTTAGATATCTCACTTATATAATTAGATGGGTCACTTAGATAATTACTTTTAGGTAATTACAAATATACACATATACATGTATACACACACATACAATGGACTAAGTTGTTGGCTCACAGCCAAGGATCGTGGATTTAAGCATCGAGTGTCCCGAGTGGCCAGCACATTTACTTTGAAAAAATTAGAGTGCTCAGAGCAGGCTACTTTAATGACATAAATGTCTATGCATGGTATAATGGAATAGGACCACGGTTCTATTTTGTTGGTTTTTCGGAACCTGAGGTAATGACAATTGTGAATATATGAAGCACAGATGTCCAAACAAACCAAGTACACACCAAAAGCAGGATACATCAAAATGAAGCCATTTCATAGGTTGCCAAGAAGGAGCCCATGCAGATTTACTCAAGTGCCCTTCTTTCCAGGAAAAGATCCCCTGCACTACATAGGGGTATTTCTACATGTATATAACCATACATCAAATAAAAATAACATACACTTGGATCTTGTAGACACGCCCCAACAAATTTGACGATGTATGGTGAATCCAAGGACCCAAGGACAGACACTTCACGGCAGAACATCTCAACGTCACTCTTCCCATACGACATGTTGCCTCTGTATCTTTTTACAGCCACAATCTTGTCATTGTATTTTCCCTGTTAATTGGAAATTTCAAGACATTACTTAAACTATAATGCACTATATTACAAGTTTGATAGTGCAAACTATCAGCCTATGCCTTTGTATTTTGATAAGATCATCACCAAAATGCTAAAATTATATTTTCTAACTGTTACTGCACTTGAGTGTTAATAACCAAATACAAACATGCAAAACATCAAATGATAAATATTAATTATTCTTAAAAAGATTCAGGGCAACACCACTACACTAATAATCAGGGCAACAACACTACACTAATAATCAGGGCAACAGCACTACACTAATAATCAGGGCAACAACACTACACTAATAATCAGGGCAACAACACTACACTAATAATCAGGGCAACAGCACTACACTAATAATCAGGGCAACAACACTACACTAATAATCAGGGCAACAACACTACACTAATAATCAGGGCAACAACACTACACTAATAATCAGGGCAACAGCACTACACTAATAATCAGGGCAACAACACTACACTAATAATCAGGGCAACAGCACTACACTAATAATCAGGGCAACAGCACTACACTAATAATCAGGGCAACAGCACTACACTAATAATCAGGGCAACAACACTACACTAATAATCAGAGCAACAGCACTACACTAATAATCAGGGCAACAGCACTACACTAATAATCAGGGCAACAGCACTACACTAATAATCAGGGCAACAACACTACACTAATAATCAGGACAACAACACTACACTAATAATCAGGGCAACAACACTACACTAATAATCAGAGCAACAGCACTACACTAATAATCAGGGCAACAACACTACACTAATAATCAGAGCAACAGCACTACACTAATAATCAGGGCAACAGCACTACACAAAATAATATGTATGTACTGTAAACGATGAGACAATGACAGGCTATAAAACAGAAAGATCAGACTTGTGACTTTTTACATGCAGTGGATGTTGATGTTGCTTAAATAGTAAATTATTATTATTTTCAGTGCATTGAAAACTACTCATTAACCCTCAATAAACTGTATATACAATACTCACTTTGTAGATTTTGCCAAATGATCCGGATCCAATGTTTTCTAAACTCTCTATCTCTGACAGACTCAGGTGAAGGTGTGGTGGCAGCACTGAACGCAGATGGAGAACATCTATTTTCTCTGTATTTTGGAAATACAGATGAAAAATATGTATTTTTCTCTGTATTGATTGCAAATATTTGATATCAGAGAATAGAATATACAAATCTAAAGAAAGTTACCTATGGTATATAAGCTGTAGTGCTCTAAGCAGAGTTGATCACCCAGTAATGTTACAGATTTTACAGCTACAATGATGCTACCGAGAGCATATTTGTATACGTACAAGATATTCTGACTGTGACAAGAATGACTATAATCATGAAGAGCTAGGATGTTAAGGAAATGGAAGTGTAGGCTACACCAAAGCTCAGGCACTGGTGCAGATGTCACCCTACCCTCATTACTATGACAGGATAATGTCCAATAGGATGCTAATTATACCATATTGCAATCAGAGAGGAGTAGCTTATAAAATAGGAACTGTACATTATATGAAAAGTGTCTTTCTGAGCAGATAGACTTGTATCTGTGTATCGTAATGTAATATTTAGGATATTAATGTAATCCTCCTTGCATTAAGGAGGATTAATGTAAGATTCCTAATGTAAGATTCCACAGTCTTTGAGAGCAGGGAGGGTCAACTGAGCATCAATCGTAAATTGATCACTCCTGTTTGCCCAGCAGTAACCGTAGTTGTAAACCATCTTAGTTGTAAGTCAATTGGTGGACTGTGTTCCAAGGAAATCTAGGTATTGTAGGTTTATGATGAGCTATGTATAGGAAGGTAAAGCTTTAAGCCTGCTTTAATTAAATTAAGTATCTACTCCTGTACACACTTATACAAAGAATTCAAGAGTTGAATGTACTGTAATGAATTGAGCTTTTCTGTTGGGCCACTCAATAGCTACATGGATGTGAACTGTCTCAAGGACAAAATCTTGAGAAGCCAAAAGTCAGTTATCGGCAGAGTACAGTAGTAGCAGGCATCCATCAGTCTCAGGAGACTATGGAGTTGCACTCTGGTTGTCGGTCTGGAGTGGCCTCACCAGGACGCAAAGCCAGGGTAGGTTGATTCGGGGGAGAAGCTGTTACCCAGGCAGCAGGTCCCACCTCTCCATGGCGTCAGAGCACAACCACACAGGAAAAGGAATCAAACTAAACCCTCTCCCCCGGACCCCCAGTTGAGGCAATGGACCAATGAGGTACAATACAAATGAGGCAGATAGAATCCTGTAGGAGACAAACAGGGACTACCAAGTCTTAAGACCCAGGCCTCTGAGACCCACTCAAGCCTACCAGTAGCCAGGATCAGAATCTGCCTCAGAATCTACAAGGTGAAGAAAGTTTGGCATAACCTAGATCACACAAAAACTGAGAGGGAAACCTTCAGAAAGATTAACTGCATCATAACATGTAACCGACTCAAGAAATCAGTACCCCTAAGGAAAATAAAGCAAATAATCTTTGCCATTGGGCAAATTCCCTGCCATAGGGAGGACAGGAAGTCGGCGGCTTGTCAAAGGTCACCCCATTTGCCCTGATGATTTTTTCCAGCTGTATTTTAAAACCCAGCAGAGTTTTGGCGTTTACAGCTTCGGCTGGTAGTCAGTTCCACGGGTTTACAACCTTATGGGTGAAAAAGCATCTCCTGTTTTCTATCCTACATTGTGGCTTGTCGAGTTCCTCATTCATGTTACATCTGATCCTTTGAAGAAATTGTCAGAATCGACATCCTCCAAATTGTTCAGTACTGTATTTTAAAGGTTTTGATGAAATCTGCCTTGTTATGCCTGGTTTGCAGTGTTGTTAGCCCTGTGGCCCTCAACCACTCCTGATACGAGGGAGAACTAAGCTCTGGGATGATTTTTGTTGCCTGGTGTTGCACCTTCTCCAGAGCAGCTATATCTTTCTGAAGATGAGGTCTCCATGCCTGGATGCAATAATCCAGGTGGTTACTATTTAGTACCAGAGACTTAAACAATTGAATGACTACTTTCTGTTCCTTGAAAGTAAAGGTACGCTTGATTATTTCCAAGGTTTGGTTCTTTTTTTTTTACTGCCACTCCCACTTGTTGTGCAACTTTTAGTGAATGATGGATTCTAACTCCAAGGTCCTTTTCTTCACCTATCTGTTGTAAGGTAGTGCTGTTAATTTGGTAGTTGTGATGTGGATTGTTATGCCCCCACATGTCAGGTCTTGCATTTATCGACATTAAAAAGCATTTGTCAATCATCTGATCATTTGTGGAGTTCATGTAGATCTCTTTGTAAGGTCTCAATATCACTTTCACTTCCCACTTTACTATAGATCTTAGTGTCATCTGTAAAGTTGATGATATGATTTGTAATATTCTCATCAATGTCATTGATGTATATGACAAACAGAGAAGAGTATTCATCAGAGAACCAGTAACCAAAAGTCAAGGCCCAACAGCTGAAGCACACTTCCTGAAAAGTTAAACAGGTAGTAACACAAATAAGTGTCTAAGGTATAATTAGCAGTCCATGTTTATCAAAATATGACACTACTGTACCTTGAATCATAGTGCGGAGCTTGCCAATTGGTGAAGGGATTGGAAAATAAGAGGTGTCCAGCCCAGAAAGATAATCTCCTCGAGCATAATCTTCACACAGCCCTGGACGACGAAAGTGCTTGAGGAAGTTGGCTATATCATCATGTCCTCGATCATATGCCCACATAAGAGGGGTCTGTTCTTCCTAAGCAACAACAAAAATATATGGACAAAAATTAGGGTTCAAGTGCAGATGAAAAGTTACTTTTTGAGTAGGTCACTTGGTCATGGTAAGTGTTCCAGTCTCTTAATGACAAAACATTGTTCCAGCCAGGCCATATTGCCCAACTCATCCCTAATGCACCATAGTTATTTTCACAATGCCCCCACTGGGTTATTAATAGACAGGGTGACACCCTTATCCCTGTCTTCTTGACAGGGATAAGGGTGAGAAGACTCTAACTTGGTCCAGCCCAGAATGACTCCTAGAAGGTTCATTCGCACTCAAAATACCTTCAAGCAATATTATTGCTCTACTATTTAGCTAATTAGCCACCTAGCCTCTACTCTAATACATCTACAAGTGTTGGCCCCAGCAATGTGTTGATGTCATGCTACTTGTTGGATGTTCCCTGATCTTGCTGTGCTGGACTGAAATTCTCCAGTGTCTCCATAGCATCAGCATGGCTCAGCAGCGATGTATAAAAGTATCCCTATTGCATAGTTGTACAATATTGACCTACTCTGACTCAAAAATGACCCTGTCCATGGGATTAATAGGATCTGGACTTGGAGAGCAACCGAGAACAGCAGCTCAGAAAAACCATAAATTATCTCGAAAGAATCTTCATATAATTCAAGCACTCCAAGATCTATTCATATAGCAAAATACAGTATCTAATTAAAGGATAGGGTACCTTCTTCTCAGAATTGTTGTAACGGTCATGAGCAGTAAGGTTGATGTCTGCCCCGTGACTCAACAGGAGCTGAACTATTCTTGTGTGCCCATGGTAACATGCCGAATGAAGAGCAGTATGGCCATCTGGACTCTGAAATCATTATTAAACAACATTAAATATAAATGCTAACACACACACACACACACAATGATGTACATTATAATCATACTCTGATTAATGTAAGCTAATATTTACTCTGATTAACAAGCTAATACTGTAATAAATTATTGATTCATAAATAAAGGACTGCATCAAAATAAGAATCTCATTGGCCCCATAATAGAAACATTAATTCAATTTCCAAATTGTAAGCCACAATGTAGGACTGAGAACGGGCGATGCTTTTTCACCCAAAGGGTTATAAACCCATTGAGCCGCCTTCCCGCCAAAGCTGTAAACGCCAAAACTCTGTTGGGTTTTAAAATAAAACTTGAAAAGATCATCAGGACAAATGGAGGGACCCTTGACAAGCTGCCGGCTTCCTGTCCTTTTTGAGGCCACTAGTATTAGTGGCCCTCAGATAAATTCAGGTAAATTGAATTTGAGCGCTAGCCAAAGCATACCTGGTAGGTTACTGAGGCAGTTTACCTGGTAGTTTACCGAGGCAGCATCTTGACTGAGTAGATAGTCCACAAGGTCTATACAGTGTCCACCAGTGCAAGCTGCATGTAAGGCAGTTTCTCCCCATAGGTTCTCGTTCAGGAGGAGACTGGATCCTCCGTACGTCAGCAGAGCCTTGGCACACTCAATCCATCCATGGTAACATGCCCTGTAGAAAGAGAGTTACTGTATATAATTAACAAATAAAAAAGTATGCTGGTCAAATTATCAAGCTATAAATCACTTTCCAAAGGGAAATATTGGAAGAACATCATTTTTGTTATTCACTTCACATTGAAAGGCGAGGATTTTTAGGATTTTAAAAATGTATTGAAACTACCGTAAGGAACAGTCCAAATAATCTAATTGGTAAAATATGTTAGTCTAAAGCCTGCTTTAAATATTTCAAAAGGTCAGTAAGCCATTACAGAATTTACTGAGAAATAAATGAAGGCTATCTCAGCAAGTATTGCTGAGATAGCAATACACTGTATAGCAATATGGGCTATCACATGATCTTACTATAGATTACTATAGATAGTATGTATAGTTACTATCTTACTATAGATACCTTTACTATCTGTAAGTTTGAAAAAAATCAATTGGAGCAATGAGCAGACTAAAAAAAAGCCATCACGGTATTCCGAGCTGTGCACCTTACCCCTGTACCACGACATGGTACAAGTTATACAACCGGGGATTCCACTAAATCCACAGGAAGTCTGGAGGCCTCTACAGAAGCCAGTCCAAATTTTATGGTAGCCCCCATGCACTCTGGTGTAAGCAGGCGATGAGTCACAATAACGTGGCTGAAGTATATTGACCAGACCACACACTAGAAATTGAAGGGACGACGACGTTTCGGTCCGTCCTGGACCATTCTCAAGTCGCCTTGAGAATGACAATCGACTTGAGAATGGTCCAGGACGGACCGAAACGTCGTCGTCCCTTCAATTTCTAGTGTGTGGTCTGGTCAACTCTGGTGTAAGTCAAGTAGTTCATCAACCGTATGCTCCAGCTTCAGATACATAATAGGTTTTGATGAGATGAGCCCTGTCATATCTTGTCTGCAATGCTGTTATCACTGTGGCCCTCAACCATTCCTATTTAGAGTCCACTTATTTCTGGAATGATTTTTGTCACCCAGTGTCGACCTTTCTTCAAGGCAGATGTATCTTTCTAAAGATGAGGTCTCTATGCTTGGATACAATAATCCAAATGGGGATTCATCAAAGATTTATACAGTTGAATAACTACCTTCCTTTTTCCTGAAGTCAAAGCATGGACACTATTTGCAAAGAAACAATGTTTCAATGAATGAATGAACAAGAAACAACTTTAATCTGGTTTTCTGTCTGCCCTTCACCATAAAGCAGACAGGAATGAATGAGAGGAGAGCATTGTGGAATATATTGTACAGTATTATGGTTCAGGTGTTGCCATCTGGTGGCAAGAGGGGGTAAACAGCTGAATAACCCAAACAGTAGCTTGTTATAGAAATTTAAGTTCAATATTTGTGAATTCACATGTGCTAAGATGGCTGTAATCTAACTAATGATGTGAAAAGTTAGTGCATAAACGAATAGCTGACACAGTCAAGGAATATTAAGAGAAGTTTGTCTCACAAAATATTGCATGTTATGGAACAAACACACAAGCCATTAGTAAAACAATCAAGAGCATGCGCTGAAGCAATGATTAAGATGTACATACACATGCAGTGGGGTGTCAAGGTAAACATTGGTGATGTGAGCATCTGTACGATACTGAGGCTGTAGTAGTAAATTAAGAATACTGAAATGTCCGTTTTGCACACAGCAGTGAAGAGCAGTGTTCCCCTCTTCATCCTGAAGGCGTACTGTAGGAATCAAGGCAAAATGCAGGAATACTACAGCCATAATGCAGTATACTATGATACAATTATATACTAGCCCTACAAGCACAAATATATATAATTTTTCTTCATTAAATTATTTTTTTATATCATTCCTAGAGTTTATTAATCTCAAAATAAAGTACAGTGGAATCTTGATTCAATGCACCTCGATTCGGCAAACCTCTGGTTGGAACACATTTTCCATGCCAGATTTACTCAGCCAATTCAACAAACAAGAGTTCACTTAAGCATGAGGTGTGTGGATTTGCTCAGGAATTTGTTCTTGGATGAATGCAATAATACAAAAGACAGTTGGAGCCACTGACAAAAAACAGCCTTGGTAAAGCCACTGACCATACTGTATTTAAAACCAAATTCTATGTTTTTTTTTATTTTTTCAGTTGAATAGGTTTCTGGGGAAGCCCGGTTGGCTCCCTGAAGCAATCTGAACTGATATGTGCTATATTAGTTTGGGGTCATCAGCCACAAGAGTTCCTATATGCCTACCGGGAACCACAAGCCAAAACCTGGTTCTCTCAGAGAGACGCAGGGAGTAATGGTGCATGAGCACTTTACATTTAAAGTATATCATATTCTGCCACTGACCGATGTGAGCACCCAGAAAGATAGGCGAACCAAAACAAACAACTAGCTGGTAAAATTGCGACCTACAGCCAGAAAGAGCAAAGAAACTCCAGCTGAAAGATTATTTTTTTAGATATATACAAGAGTCATTACATTCTTGTACAGCCACTAGTATGCGTAGGGTTTCGGGCAGGTCCCTGGAATATGATCCCCACTGCGAAGAATCGTTTTTACAACCAAGTACCCATTTTACTGTTGAGTTAAACAGAGGCTACAGTTAAGGATTTGCGCCCAGTAAGTCCTCCCCGGCCAGGATATGAACCCATGACAAAGCGCTCGCGGAACGCCTGGCGAGTGTCTTACCACTACACCACGGAGACTGGTAAAATAAAATAAAAGCAAATAAAAGACTAGCAACCCTGCCCGCAACTAGTACTTCCACTCGTCAGTATAACCCCCCTTTCCCTGGGTAAGGGGGAGGGGACAGCCGGCAGCTCACTACCTCAGTTTTTGTCCCGATGTGCTGGCAGTCCCTCAGTCACCTCTGCCCTCAAGTCCACGGCTCTGTCTCTACCAATAAATCGGGCCAGTGAGATACCTTGCTGATTCACTTTACTGCTCTGCACTTCGTGTCTGGTCTTTCTGATGTGGATTTATCACCATTTCTATGGTGATCAGGTGGCTTCATTGATGGTGTCCCACCTTCAGTCTTCCAGGAGACAGCATGAAATCTCTTGGTCGTCTTTCCGTCATTTCCTTTCTCTTCCGAGGGGTTTCGTCGATTTCGGACCGGGTTGTTTTGTTTTGTCCTTTCTCTCTTGGTTTTTTCTGAACCAGCATCTCACGCCGAATACTGTCGCTTCGTATCGCGCTGCATTTGTGGAACCACTCCAGCTTGTGTTCAAGGTGGATGCTATTTCTGCTCCATTTTGCAAGCTTTCACGTGCATTTTTTCAACACCAGGCTGCTCACGCGCTGTCTGAGCCTTCCTGATCTTTGGACCAGGTTCTTTCTTTTCTTTCATTTCCTCGTTTTGTGGTGGCCCCTTCGATTGTTGATTGTTTTCAGAAGGCCTTATTTTTGTTGGCCAGGGAAAGGAGAGGAAGAAGCTTCATGCTCTCCTCCCGCGCCAGGGGTTCTGTTCCTTCGGTCCAGGTGGTCGTTTTGTTTGGTTGCAGCGCTCTCCTCCTGTACTGGAGAAGAATGAGATGACAGGCTTCTAAAGGGATCTGGTGGAGGTGGATACTTGGTTGGGCCGGGGGTGCATCATGTGTTGTGTCTGGTGGTGGCTTTACACCACTATCTGATTCGTACTGATTCTGCGACACTAGATGCTGTGTGGGTGGATCCGGTTTCCTGGGTTCCACGTACCCAGGCTTGTGTGTCTCAGGTTGTCCGTAGTGTCATGAAGTCCAGATAGCCTGTGGTCTACCCTAGTGCCCATGACGAGAGGAAGTACGCTGCACTCGCCATGGTTTTTGGGAACAGGTCTTAGGTTAACATTAGGGCATGGGGGTTTTGGAGATCGAACAGGGTCCTGGCTGCATGATATCGAGTGAACATTCTGGGCCCTTTCCAGCCTTGTGTGGCTTTAAAGCGTCTGTTGCGACCATCATTTTCTTCATCGACTTGAGCCTCGTGGTGCTGCCACCTCCCGGTTAAGTCCCTGTTTTTCCTTCTCTGTGAGTAGTTAGTTTCAAGGAGCCAGTGAGGCTCCCCCAGAAAACCAGTGTTGAATGTAATGAAACGCCCTTTTCTGGGCAAAGCCCAGGAGGGTCCCTTCCTTCCTCTGGTCAGTGGTTTTTTACATCAGGCCTAGAACTGAAGTGGTGGGCAGTCAGCTCCCCTTTCACCATTATCAGGGATAGGGGGGGGAGTTACGCTAACAAGCGGGAGTATTAGTTGCGGGCAGGGTTGCTATTTTCATTTATTAGCTTTGATTTGATTTTCTTTCAGCAGGAGTTTCTTTGCTCTTTCTGGCTGTAGATCATAATTTTAGTGGCTAGTTGTTTGTTTTGGCTCCCCTATCTTTCTGGGTGCCCACCCCAATCGACGGTGGAACATGACACATACTTTAAAGTACTGTAAAGTGCTCACACGCCATTGCTTCCTGTGCCTCTCTGAAGGAACCAGGTTTTGGCTCATTGCTCCCAGCAGGCATAGAACTCCTGTGGCTGATCAATCCAAACTAATATAGCACATATCAGTTCGGATAACTTCAGGGAGCTTCGGCGTTTCATTGCAGTCAACGCTGGTTTTTTGTTCAGTAAAATATGAGCCCTTTTTACTTTGAAAATTAGATTTCGAGGCTCTGGGCATGGAAAATACGCTAGAAGTGGTTTAATCTTTTACAGACAGGTTTTCTTGGTTGTTGCTCTTCAAATGACAGGTTGAAATTATAATTTCGCTCAATGAAATCAGCCCTAGAGCATGGAAAATATTAGGTATGAATGGTAACACACTTAATATGGATCCAGTCATGTTTTAATGATTTTCATAAATAGGCGCAACATTATAAAAAATATTAAGAGGTCTTGTGAAAGTCATCGGGTATATTTAAAACCTAATTTATACTCGGTGAATTCAGCCCTTAGAGTGTTGCAAATATTAGGATATGAATGGTAACTATTAATATGCTCCCATCACAGTCTTGATGATTTGTGTAGATGTACTCAACATTACAAGAAACAGTTAGTCTTGGGAAAGTTAAGCCAGTCGTTATTGAAGATATTTAAAACCAAATTTTATAGTTTGCTTTTATTTTGAGTTGCCAAGGTTATCGTTTACTCGGGTATGGCCCTGCTACCCTTTGAAAATGTGTTTTGAGGATGGGAACTTGAGAAATAAGCTATATATGGTCAAATCTTTTTGCAGACGTGTTCATTTGGTAGTTATCTATTATATTATAGGTTGAAATGAAAATGTCACTAAGTAAAATCAGCCCACAGAGCATGGGAAATGCATCCTGGAGGCATTTCCAGTTGCAACGAATCCCTCACTGCCTTGAATTTGGGTTGGTCCCACACAGTTCGTTGAATCAAGGTTGTACTGTATAATATACAGTAATCAGTCAAGAAAGGAATGATTTTTCTTTATACTATAACATTTCAGTTCCCCAATAAGGGAAGATTCACTGTGTCTGTTGACCAGGATCATGAAACAGTCAGACAAAATCAAATTCTGGCATCAGTGTCACAAAACTTTCAAGTATCCTTACACAGTCACAACAGACACTAGCAAGTCACCAGTGATCACTTACTCCAGCCCAGAATGACCGACAGAAGTTCATTCATAAAACATAAACCAGTAAAGAGTCGTTACTTACAGTTCATTTACATGTGCAAAAGTTTACAATGATTGATAATAAGGGAAAGCATGTAACAAGACCCATAAAGACCCATAAAGCACTGAAATAACAGTATATGGTGTAAAGTTGAATGGACAAACCAAATCATATCACTATAGTAATCTGATGACACTATTTTAGCATCATCAATTTCAATGTAAAAATTCTGATCCATTAATGCCCGATTTACCCGAGGGTCACAAACACTAGTGGCCTCGACGAGGACAAGAAATCTGTGGCTTGTTGAAAGTCCCCCTGCCCCCCCCCCCCCATTCTCCAGGTGGATTTTAAAACCTAACACTGTTTTGGCATTTGCAGCTTTGGCAGGTAGGTGTTTCCATGGGATTATAACCCTGTTGGTTAAAAAACATCTCCTGTTCTCAGTCCTACACTGAGGTTTGTTGAGCTTGAAACCATTGCTCCTTGTTTGTTACATCTAACCTTTTGAAGACATTGTCAGGATCAACATACTCTGATGTGCTCAGTATTTTATGTTTCAATGAGATCTGCCCTGTCGTGCCTGGTTTGCAGTGTTGTTAGCTCAGTGGCCTTCAAGCATTCCTGAGATGAGAGAGGATCTAGCTCTAGAATGTCTTTTATTGCCCAGTGTTGCATTTTCTCCGGAGCAGTTATGTCCTCCTGTAAGTGAGGTCTCCATGCCTGGATAAAGTAGTCCAAATTTGGGCACACCAGATATTTATACAGTTGAATCACTACCTTCTTTTCCTCAAAGTCAAAAGTATGCTTCATTATCCCGAGTATTTAGTTAGCTTTTCTGACAGCTGCTCCTACTTATTATGCAACTTTTAGCAAGTGGTGGATTTTGACTCCCAGGTCCTTTTCTTCATCAAACTGCTGTAATGTAATGACATTGATTTGGTAGTTGTGGCATGGGTTGTTATGCACTATATGCAAAGTCTTGTATTTGTCGATATTAAAAAGCATTTGCCAGTCTTCTGACTATTTGTAGAGTTCATGTAGATCTCTGTCTCATGTTATTCTTTTGTCTTGTAACATACGATTATGTTACATTGTTGGGTAGATTAGATAGACAGTGTTTAGTGGGTTTCATATTTATTTAGTAGTCTTGATTACAGCAGTCGGTTGTTGGCAGTGTTGTAGATGTTGAGACGGAGCTTGGAGCAGAGCAGAGAGCTGAGTGAGGCTGGAGTCGCTGAGCTCTCTGCGGGAGAGAGTGGCAGCTCGATAGGGAATTATGAGTGTCTAAACTCTATGGGGAACAAGAGCATTGTAGCTCGATGCGGTCGTTAAATGCTGTCTGCTCTGTGTCAAAGCTGTAGTGTCTTGGGATCGATTGGAACTGTATACACCGTGTGCTACATTCTTGAGGTTGAAGAGGTGTGAACTCCGAAGCATCTGTACTCTAGTTAACTGAATCACTGTGGAAATTATACTGATGCTTACTCGCTTCTTGACTTCTTATATTATTGGACTACACCTCAGCTTCCTCCAATAGGATGGAAAGAATGTTACCTGTAATTAGGGAAAGGCTTTGAGTAGTCAAAATTAGTGCTAATGAGTTTGTCATTAAGGTAATGAGAGATTGGAGCGAGTATAATGTTTACTTGCTACAGTCTCTTCAATATCATTATCATAAATCTTTGTGTCATCTGCAAAATTTGATGATATAGTTTGAAATATTCTCATCTATGTCATTAATGTATATGACAAAAAGAGTTGGCCCCAAAATTGACTCCTGAGGTACCCCTATATCTCCAATCAGATTCGTTACCATTTAGCGCGACCTTTAGTTTTCTTTGTTTCAACCATTGTATTATCCATTCTAATATTTTACTATTTATTCCAAGGGCCTGTAAATTTCTTGCCAGTCTTTCATTTGGTACCTTATCAAAGGCTTTAGCAATATCCACGTATACTTCATCGACTGGAAAGCCTTTGAGTAGCTAGTGACTATTTCCAAAAATGTGAGCAGTAAGGCGGGATCTATTTTTAACAAAACCATGTTGTGTTGGTCGTAAAGGATTATTCACTAAAAGATGGTGAATGATTCCCTCCCTGAGAATTCTTTCCACGAGCTTGCAGATGTGTGACGTCAAGCTGATCAGCCGGTACTTTTCTGCTGTGCTCTTTCTGCCTTTTTTTGAAAATAGGGGTGACATTTGCATACAGTATTTCCATTCAAGGGGGACTATTCCTTGGTCAAGAGATTTTGTGAAAAGTAATTTCAGTGGTAGGCATAGTTCGTCTGCCAGTTCTTTTATAAGTATTTTTCATATAAATAGGGATACACTCCTGGAAATACTCCTGGAATTGCTAGAATAATAATGTATGGCTAACTTTATGCCTTTAGTGTAGTCTCAAAGTCTTAGCTCTCCCAATAAGTGGGGCTGAATCAGAGGGGGACCATGCTGTGTGATCCAGCAGGATCACATGGCTTGTCCCTAGAACATCTTCCAGGGGAAACAAGATTTGTAGGCCTGGTCACCCACAACACAATGATTTAAATATGAACTTCACTTTCCTGTACCCCCTCGCCTACCATGAAGCCCAAGAAAATATAATGTAAGCAGTTAAATGTAGGGAAATAGGGTAACACAAGTAACCATTAGAGTCTTAAATATCAACAGGGAGACCTTTGACAAGCTGCCAGCTTCCTGTCCTCGTCGAGGCCACTAGTTTGATAGCAACCCTTAGGTAAGCTCATACCATGGATTGAGATCTCTGCCATCTCTACCAAAGATCTAGTAGCGAATGCACTTAATCTTAACTTTGTGAAAGAGAAAACATGTGCTCTCCAAAATGTCATTACTGTATATAATGTCCCATATAGACTGATTTCCTACCACCAGGGTTGAGATATGCTGAACTCTGTTAATAATATTATCTGAATACTGGAACACTTGATATGTTTAACTGTGTCCAAGATTTGCTATATAATAAGTTATGCAAAACACTTTATCCCCTATCAGGGATCCCTAAATAGCAACACCACCCCTATGAATGCATATTGAAAACCAAGTTAAACACCGACTATAAATATTGCCAAGACATATGGACAGATGGACACCAATTATTAATCCAGAGATAAGATTTTACAGAGAAACCCTGATGGAAAACCTCAGCTTCTAAATTCCTGTACTTCTTCTTACAGCCATTAAGTATCATGACCAGACCACACACTAGAATGTGAAGGGACGACGACGTTTCGGTCCGTCCTGGACCATTCTCAAGTCGATAGGCAATCGACTTGAGAATGGTCCAGGACGGACCGAAACGTCGTCGGCCCTTCACATTCTAGTGTGTGGTCTGGTCATCATACTTTAGCCACGTTATTGTGACTCATCGCCTGCATTAAGCATCAGTTCAGATGTGCTCTAATTACAAACATTTGTTGGTTTTACCCATACTAACCTCTTGCTCCTTTTTTGAGCAGTAACTGTACAATTTTATAATATCCCCGAGTAGCAGCTAAATGCAATGGTCTATCACCAACAGAGCCAGCAATATTAACATCCACTCCACGAGACAACAGATATTCTACTACCTGAAAAAAGAAAGAAAAATTACACAAGATACTCTGATTAAACCATACAAATAAAGTATGGCAAAATATTTTGAAAATTAATCAGGACCTTAATTAATAGATGATTTTGATTACCTAAAGAAGCAATTTACTATTGTGATCTTTTCTTTGGCTACAACACCAGTACCATCTGGAGGTCTGCTCCATTTTTTCTTCTACTCGCTGCCCATACATTGAATTATATTTTTATTTTATTTAAGCTTTTCATATTTTCCTTACTCGTGTCTTTCTTTTGCTCCTTCCATTCTACTTTCTCTCTATTAAAATCCTTGAAGAAATCTTTGAAGCAAACTCCAAAAACTAAATTCTAGTGAACTGGACAAAATAAGTGTATGGAGCACCACTTGGCAAACGGAACAATGTGAATAAATGCCACGTTATGGAATAGCAGAAAACAGATCGCACACAAACTACAAATTATGTGATTTTTTTTTTTTAAATTTGATAAGAGAGATCTAAGGATGGTTCTAGATAGAAAACTGTCACCTGAGAACCACATAAAGAACACTGAAGAACCTATGCTACACTTTCCAATTTCAAAATCGCTTTTAAATATATGGATGGTGAAACACTAAAGAAATTGTTCACAACCTTTGTGAGGCCAAAGTTGGAATATTCAGCAGTTGTATGGTGCCCATATCTTAAGAGGCACATCAACAAACTGGCAAAGGTGCAAAGGCATACAATTAAATGGATTCCAGAACTGAAAGATAAGAGCTACAAGGAGAGGTTAGAGGCATTAAATATGCCAAAACTAGACGACAGAATAAAAAGAGGCAATACTATCATTACGTACAAAATAGTAATGGGAATCAACAAAATTGATAAAGAAGAATTCTTGAGACCTGGAACTTCAAGAACAAGAAGTCACAGATTTAAGCTAACTAAATAAAGCAGCCATAAAATATCAGAAAATTCGCTTCCACAGAGTGGTAAACGGCTGGAACAAGAGAGAAAGTACTGGAGGCCAAAACTATCAGCAGTTTCAAAGTGTTATACAACAGAGTGCTGGGAAGATTGGCCACCAAGAGCACAAGTAATTACACTTAGATAATTACTGCCAATACATCAATACATCTTAAAATTACTGCCATAAACACTACCCAAGGAACCCCATCACATACTACTTGCTGGCCAAGGCCACTCTCTGTTTAGAATCTCTGTGAGCTAATATCTCCATCAAGACTGGAAGATCCTGCCACTTCCTCAAAATTTTGCTAAAGTCACCTCTCTACATTACAAGGAAATTAAAAAATTAAAGAAAACAAGATATCAAAGATTTTAAGATATAAATTTTTGCCGTACAACTTAAGATAATTCAAATAATAATTCCTTGTGTCAGGGGACAGGGAGTCAGTGTGTAATTCATACACATTAGGCTTGTATCGAGGTCTACCCCCCCTCCCCCAAGGTCGAATTACTAACTCCGCCCAGGATGCAACCTCACAAGCTGATTAACTCCTGAGCTGTACCTACTTACTACTAGATAAACAGTGGCATTAAGTGAAAGGAAATGTGACCAACCATTTGTCCCACCCGGGATTCGAACCTAGAATTCTCGACTGTGCGTCGAGAACGAACCCGACTGTACTACCTGGACCCTTATGTCCCGGTAGTACAGTCAAGCAAGCAAATGTCGCTGCTTGCTAGTGATTACCTAAAGAAGCAATTTACTATTGTGATCTTTTCTTTGGCTACAACACCAGTACCATTTGGAGGTCTGCTCCATTTTTTAAAATAAATAAATATAAATAAAATTTTTATTCAGGTAAGGTACACACATACAAGAGATTTTCCAAAATTTGATCGATTTATAGATAAAGCTAATATATACAATGCCTAAAGCCACTATTACGCAAAGCGTTTCGGGCAGATTTTCTTCTACTCGTTGCCCGTACATTGAATTATATTTTTATTTTATATGGCTGAACATGCTATGAAATTTACAGTACATGAAATAAAGTTTTGAAAAGATAAAAATGTCTTACAGATTCATTTCCAAAGAGGCAGGCAATATGAAGCGGGGAAAATGACACAGCATCCCGAGCCTCTATATTAGCACCCCGCTGAGCCAAAGCTTGGGTGACTTCAAGGTGACCAGCCAGACATGATATATGAAGGGCAGTCACACTTCCTACACCAGTGTGGTCCAAGTGATTACATTTTTCAAGGAAAAGGCGAACTAAATCCACATCACCCTGCAAATATATATAATTATTCAATATTGTACAAAAAATGCATAAATACTTTATAATGTCTTGATAAACTGACTCTTGTCTTCAAAATTTACTCATAATAATCATAGCTTAATTCTTTAAAAACAAACCAAGAAAGCAGTTTTTTATTATCAGTGAACCATAGGCACATACAAAATGCACTGTACTATACAGTAACTTGATAATATATAAAACAATTGGAAAAGGATTAATTAGGAAAAGAACCAGCATTGAAAGTAATGAAACACCATTTTCTGGGCGAGCACCGGAGGCTCCCCGGAGCTTACCGGGCTGATATGAGTCAATTGCAGTTCTTAAGTACTGGTGACCACGAGCCAGAACCTGGCCCCCTCAGAAAGGTACGAGAAGCAATAGCCTATAGAAATCCTCGTGTATTTGGAAGCATTTCAAGCAGACCCAGAAAAGTAGGAGTAACAAAAACCCCACATGGTAAAAAAATTAATTGCTACCGAAGACCGAACAGAGAAACAGAACTCCCTAAATTTTAAAACAAGCAAACGTCACACCCCACTGTCATGCCACTCGTCCTTGCAGCCCCCCCGGAAGGGGGGGCACCAGGAGGGGGAAGAGTGGACCCTGGGAGTGGGGGGGGGGGAAAGAGGGTCCCAGACTCTCCACGCCGGCTGCTCCGCCATTCAGTTCCGAGGCTGAGTTTCATAAACAATGCGAAAAACACTGACCATTGGGAGGGAGGGTGCCGGAGAGCCTCTGGGGCTCATCCAGAAAATGGTGTTTCATTACAATCAACGCTGGTTTTCTGTGGGGAGCCTCTATGGCTTTCCAGAGCTACCTAACCAAAGAAACAAGAGGGACTTGCCCAGGAGGCGGCTGCCACTCGCTCCTCAATTCGAAGTCGAGATAACTGACTGTAACCACCGACTCAAAGCAACACACGCCCGATGGAGGACAACGAACGTTGACCAGGTAACGGGCGGCGAGGGCCCTGTTTTACCTCCAAAACCCTCATGCCCAAATGTCAGCCCAAGACATGTTACCAAAGACGGCAGTCAAAGCAGCAAATTTACAAACGTCATGGGCAGGAGAATAGACCACAGGCTGGCTGGACCGAATAACCCTATGGACAACCTGGAAAACCCAAGCCTTGGAACAGGGAACGAGGGAGACTGGGTCAACCCAAAGCACATCCCTGGCCACAAAGGCTGTGGTACGCAGGTAATGGCGAAGAACCGCATCCGGACACAACACGTGATGCACCCCTGGCCTGACCAACCAAGCATCAACGATCCAAGGGCCCCTTCCAGAAAGCTGCCGACTCTGTCTTAGCCAGAAAAAAGAAGGCTGCAACCGAACAAACCTACCACTAGGAACAAATGAGCAGAAAGCCCTGCACTGGAGGACAGCATGAACTCCCTGCCCTGACCCCCAGAGGCCAATGCCAACAGAAAGGAGCCTTAGAAAAACAATCCTTAACCAAAGAGACCACCACAAACCTTTGGGAAGTGAGAAAAACAAGCACCCAGTCCAAGGACCAGGATGGCTCAGATGGCACATGAGCAGGCCAGAGGTCAAAGCATGAGAAAGCTTGCGGAATGGAGTAGAAGTAACATCCACCCCGAACTCAAGCTAAAGTGGCTCTGCCAGCATTGCATGCTACGAGGTTACAGTATTCAAATGACGGTCCTCAAATAGCCAAGAAAGGACAAAACAACCTAATCTGAAATAGGCAACAACCTGCGAATGGAGAGAAAATGGCAAAAAGAATACCAGGAAACTTCATACTGTTGCCAAGACAAAGTTCGCAGGTGGGACACCACCAACAAAGCCACCTGATTACCATACAAATGGTGATATACCCACATCAAAAATACCAGATGCGAAGAGCGGAGGAGTAAATCGAACCAGCTACATACCAGACCAGTCCAATCTGCTGAAAAACAGAGCCATAGAAAACGCCTTGGGGTTTGGACACCGAGCAAGCAGCGTCTGAAAACAAGGCTGGGCCAGCCACCAAATGGCCAACAGAACTACTCTCCCCTGGTAAGTCTCCAACTGAGCCAGAACCCGAAGTCACAGCTGGACCAGGGGAAAGAGGTATGGGTAACTCCACCTCGACCAGTCCCACCAAAAAGTGTCCACCGCGACGGCTTAACAATTGGGGAAAGGCGCCACATACACGGGAAGATACCAGGATCACGCCAATGCGAAGAGGTCCACATTAGGGAGTCCGTACGTCTGACAGAGCCAACTGAAGAAGTCGGCGTCGACCGTCCATTCCGGAGATAGGGGAATGAACTAAGAGAGGCCGTCTGCCAGGATGTTGGACGCCCCCCGGACATGAACTGCACAGAGAGCTAAACCCTGAGAATCCAGCAGACGAGTCACTCAAAGCGACCAGCCCCAAAGAGGCAAGCACCAAAGAGAACCCCCGCAGTTCAGGCAAGGAACCACCAGAGTACAGTCCGAATAGAGCCTGATGGTTGAGCCCCTAGCGACCCGGACACTCTGAAGGGATAGCCAAACCTTCAGAGGGTGAACTCCCGCACCGTGCTGTGAGCCCGACGGAAGGACGGAGTCCAATGCCCCTGGCCTGCCTGATGAGCACTGGTCACAAAGCCCCAGCCGAGAGACGAGGCATCTGTGAACACATCGAGGGGCTCGGATAGGTGCCACGGCTCTGAACCCCCAAAAAAACGAAGAGGAAGCCGGTGACCCAGCAACTGACACAAGGCCCCCAGAGGCTGAACCCAGCTATCGCAAGAGCAGCGGAAGGGACGTCCCCGAAGGAACCAGAACAGCCTCTGAAGCCAAACTCGACCCGGCGAGTGAACTAGCACGGCGAAGTTCAGACTCCTGCACAGCTGTTCAAGCAACCGCCGAGTGACCCTGGAGCCCCCCATAAACAGCTGAAGGTGGGACTTCAGTCGCACCAATGCCTCCAGAGGGAGACAAGGAAGCAGTCTGAGAGTCCCACACAAGACCCAGCCAAGTCTGAAACGTCATGGGCAGGAGGGACCAGATGAGACTTCCTCCAGTTCACCAGGAACCTGAACCTGGTGAGCTGGGGAAAGAACCACACCCCTGGCAAGCAGCCATGCAGACCAGCTGGGAACCCACACCAGCCAGTCGTCGAGGTAGGCCAAAACCAGAATTCCTTACAGATGCAGACGGGTCACCATGACCCAGGTGAGACGCATGAATACATGGGATGCAAGATTCAGGCCAAATGGAAGGCATTGAAAGCAATAAGCATGCTGTCCCAACACAAAATCTAACCAGTCCCTGACCCCCAAATGAATCGGGACGTGACCATACGCATCCCAGAGGTCCAGAGACATCATCCAAGTCCGGCTCCAAGAGAAGCCAGACCTGGGACAGAGCGATGATCTGAAAGAAGGGGCAAACAATCCAGGGGTTCAGGTGGGATAAGTCCAGAATGAACCTCAGATCCGCACAGTCCCATTTCGAGACTGGAAACAGGCGGGAAACCTATCTGAAGGATGTCAACGTTTCGGCCACGCGAAAGCGAACCCACTTCAAGATGACCCAATGGAGCGTAGGGGAAGAGGCCTGCCCCGCTAGCTCCAAATCCCCCGGAGGAGGAGGAGCCACCCAACATTACCACAGGCCAGAAGAGACGACCTGAAACACCCACAAAGCATGGGACCAGGCGTGAGCAAACAGTGCAAGCCTTACCCCCATCGCCCCATTGACGAGACGACCCATGAAAGGGCCAATGCCCTTCACAAGCAGAGCGATCATTGCACAAACCAGATGTCGCCGGCTCCGAAGGCAGAGTCGGCACCATAACTGGCATCACTGGCCTACCATGACCGGAGGAACCCCGAACCCCTGCACGATCCTTCTGGGAAGAACTACCACATCCACCCTGGAGAACCAACAAGTCCAACATTAACCGAGAACTTAAGGTGGAGCAGCCAGCGTGGGAAGGCCAGGGAAAAGGGGCTGTGCGGAAGAGCAGCGCGACAGCGGGGTGACGTTTGCGTGTTTGCTTGTCTTAAAATTTGGGGAGTTCTGTTTCTCTGTTCGGTTTTCAGTAGCAATTAATTTTTTTGTTACCATGTAGGGTTGGTGGTGTTACGCCTACCTGTCTGGGTGTCAAACCCCGGTCGATGGCAGACATGGAATGCTTCCAAATACATGGGGGTTTCCATAGGCCATTGCTCCTCATACCTTTCTGAGGGGGGGCCAGGTTCTGGCTTGTAGTCCCCGGTAGGTAAGAACTCCAATCGGCTGATGCTACAGTCTAATACATGCATATCAGCCTGGTAAGCTCCATGGAGCCGTAGGGGCTCCCCACAGAAAAGAAGTTAAAAGTGGTGCTAGTGTTCTTTGATTGGAACTGTTACTCTAAGATTCCTTAAAATTAAATTGAAAAGTATGAAATTGTGGTCGGAAACATGTGGAGACACACTTCGGGTGTGTTCGAACACACTGCCCCTGGAACATCCAGACATTGACCGAGTTAGGGAATGGAAATGGCTGCTACAATAAAAGCTCAAACTTGGAAGAACAAGATAGAGGCTTGCCAAAGTGTTTTATCTAACCCTACTGTGTGTGTAATTACCCAAGTGTAATTACCTAAGTTTAGTTACAGGATGAGAGCTACGCTCGTGGTGTCCCGTCTACCCATATGTACTCACCTAGTTGTACTCGCCTAGTTGTGCTTTGGCTCTTTGGTCCTGCCTCTCAACCGTCAATCAACAGGTGTACAGGTTCCCGAGCCTACTGGGCTCTATCATATCTACACTTCAAACTGAAAACACTGTGTGTGTGTCTGAGAGGAAGATCGATATGGGTTGTCAGATTGATAATTGTGAACTATGGTGGTACAATCATATAGAATGAATGGACAATGATAGTGAAAAAAACTGCTGACTGGTTTCAGGGTAAGAAATGAGGAAGATACACAGGTGAGCAAGTGTGTGTTAAACTATCCACTTCATGCGAACACTGCATGAAGAGCGACAGTCAGCACAACTACACTAAGTGTAAGCACTTTGTCAAAAGCAAATGAGTCAGATTATTTTGTATTAATTCAAGTGAAGTGCCTCACACAAAGTTCATATAAAAAGCATGAAATACTGGTACACGTGTATTACAAGACTGGGACAGTACAGTACTAGTCCATCATTATGTTACAAGCTGTGGATGATACTATCAAATAATTATAAACCAATATTTTCCTGTAATATTTTCTATCCTTCCCTAGCAGATGTTTATCCAACCTTGAAAGTGATGTTACGAGAATGTAGTGATGTTAAGTCCCAGAGGAACATAAAGACTCTGGTTTGGGAGGCACCCAAGGTGCCTTAGCTCAGAAATATAGTAATTTATACTAACTTCAAATGTATAAATGAATATCTACATAAATGAAATATAAAAGCTAGTATTCTAACTATAAACACCATCAAGCTTTGTTAGATTATACACACCATTCAAACATCCTTGAGAACATTATGATGAAATCACTCCAAGCAGGCAGGAAAGGTTATCACTCCAAACACTATGTTAACCTTGTAAGATGCCAAATGAAGAGGCGAGAACCCATTTCTACTGATAATAGCAGGATCAGCTCCCTTTTGGAGTAGGAGGCGAATCTGATCCCTAATTTCCTTATTTGTTTGAGTTTTGGGGAGCTGTTTACATTTTTCAATGTCACTTTTAATTTCCTGGTTGGCATCTTGAGTTCCATCCTGCCTGTTACTTTTGTGACGTGAGGGTTTGACAAGTTGGAGGAAGCAAGGGGCCTCGGAACCAGTCTCACTTCCATCTGCTGCTTCATCTTCCTTCTCTTTTGCCTTATCATTTCTCACACTTACATTTGACAAGCAGCAGAGATGCTTCAGACTCAAGCCATTATCTAGTCTCTCACCATAAGCTTCAGAATTCAGAAGATTTACCAAATGATCTGATGTTCCATTGCTAAGAGAGAAAAATACATTTTAATTAGAGAGTAACAATAACTGTATAGCAAAAAATATATATGGTTCAATGCTTCCAAGGGTCTTTTTCTTAGTCTTTTACTCCAGTAAATCCCATTGTACAACATTTTAATAAAAAATGTAAGGTTTCCAGGACAAATTAGAAAAGTGCAATGCCCATCGTATTTATCAATACTTAATTCAAGTAATGAAGAGAAATAGAGGGGCCAGGAATGATGGAATCATTCAAGTTAAGAATTAGAAAGCCCCAAACACTTTTAGTTTTATTACAAGAGGAGGCACCCGACCCCCATACAGGCAACGGTACACAGGGCTTAAAATACCCATACACAAACATGATTGGTGAAGAGCTTCGAACCATCCAGATAGGTTGAGTTGCTGACATGTTGAGAGAGGTGGAGATTCAAGTAGGGAAGAGAACTGGAACAATGGGCAAGAAGGGATCAACTGGACACATGAAAGGAAACAAGTGAGGTTACCTTGAGGTGCTTCCGGGGCTTAGCGTCCCCGCGGCCCGGTCGTCGATCGGTTCCCGGTTCACGTCGTCGTGAACCCAGTCAATCAGGTTAACGACAGCACTGGATGGGTGACCCCAACATATAGCCTTGCCCTTGACTAGAGGCACCTTAACAAACTAGACAGGCATCCAGTCACTCATACTGGCATGCTTTACACAATGCATTTAGTAGACCAATCAAATTGCATAAATTATTATTGACCATTATTTTAAGTATAATTTTTAATAATTTATCAATACTGTATACAGTACAGTAGTTATAAATGTATACTATGAACATTTACCCAGTACAGTATTAATAAACAATTTATTATTATAAAAAATATTGACTTATATACCATAAAACCCTTCTGATTTCTGAGAAGTCTTCAATGTCTTCCACATGTAAATCTTCCTGAAGACTTTCTTCTAAAAGAGCATAGTTTTCCAAAAAATTTCTAAGAAGTTCTTGGGAGCATGAAGATTTAGGTCGGGATTTATAATTCCCCATAGCTATGGTGATAACTGAAAATAAAATAAAGATAAAGAAACATTAAGAGAAAAAAACTCCTACAATTTTATGACATTTTGTACATCCATCTTTCATATTAATAATTATGAAAAATAGAAAAGCCTTATCCATCAAAATCTGTTGATGTCTGATATTTTATGGCAGAATTTTCTCACTAAGAAAACAAATGTGCTGACCCGTGATCTATTAATGTAAACTCTGAAAGTATTCAAACTGAAGATTAGAATATCCATTAACATCAATACTCTGACTATTGAAGTGGCAACAAGAGTACTGTACTCCGAAGCACACGAATCCTACAGATGGCTCCAAGTGATAATTCTCACTGACTATTGTTAATATTATACTACCACCGTAACTCAGTTTGGTTCCTGAACCCAACAGCATATGTGTCTCGTACTGTAAATATTGCAATCTGAAACACACACACACACCTGCTGATATACCAAAAATATATTTTACAATTAGTTCATCACTGTTACAGCTTGCTTAACTAAATGAAACCCTTATGTGCCTCTGTAGTCCTCCCAACACGACCCACAGGATGCCCATGGGCTATGTATGAAATGCTGGGCATCTAATTGATTTTAAACTTTTCTTATTTATTGATGTGGGAAGCTTTATTAGGTTCATTTTCACATGCTGAAGATTATACTATTTGGAATGTATAATAATACCTGTAATAATAATAATAATAAAAATAATAATAATAATAAATAATAATAATGATAATCATAATAATTTAAAAAAAAAAGTACATACAGTACATACATGAACAAATCCACAAGGGCCGTGATGAGGGTTCGAACGTACGTCAGGGATAATCCCAGATGAGCATTAGTTGATCCCAGACACGACACGAACCTACGTCATCCCAGACATAAGTTCAAACCCTCATCACGACCCTTGTGGATTTGTTCATTTGATGTATCACGATATTGTGATTTCTGTATGAGTACATAGGATACAAGAAGAACGTAGGATTTATAGGTACAGCAACTACTGTGCCTAAAGCCACTAACACGCACATTGCACAGCGTTTTGGGCATAATGTAGAAAAAATTTGAAAACTAAAAAACTTAAAACTAATCAAGATAAAAAAATAATGAATTGTAGACAAAATGAGTCGTCTGATTGCTTAAATAACAAAGAAAAATACCTGAAATTTGACAATTTAATTTACATATTTGATATAAAGAATGACTAAATGTTGTGAAATATATGGCAGCTTTAAACTAAATCTAGTGAAAAGTTGAAATGCCATAAGAAAAAATAAAGACAGCCTACTGTCAGCACTTAAAACCCAAAACCTAGTGGCACTCGCATTCATTCTGGTAATTTCCTAAAATAAAGATACAATACAGGGATAGAGATCATTTTGTAATCAACATGGTTCGCCAAAGAATGTTAAAACTTACCTAAACTAACCCAATGCAACGAAACCTAACCCAAGCCAGCTCAACCAAACCTGTCCCAGCCTAACCTAAAGACATATTTTGAAGCAAGTATATTAACTAGTATTATCATTGCTCCATATTATTGTCTCAGACCCTGTTGGAATATAACCAGTCTGTCAATCGGGTTTGACCTTTGACCTAAAGACCTTTGGTTTAATAAGTTATTAATCAAGATGTTTTCAACAATATTACTGGGGCGTTCACCGATTCCAACATAGGCGACCCTTTTGGAAATGCAACACATGGGTTGACCTGATTGATATATTGGTCAGATTCCATTAAGGTTCGGAACATTATCATTAGCTAATATACAGATAATGAGAAGGGTCTGTTAATTCTACATAACCTATCTCTAAGTGTTCCAGATTCCTTGAAGTTATACAGTCCTCCATTGTGACTTTAGCAGTCCCCCATGGTGTAGTGGTAAAACACATACAGTAGTACATAATAAATTCAAATTTTTATTCAGGTAAAAGTACATACATGGAGGACGAGTTACAAATAAAGTTGGATTTACGGATGGAGCTAGTACATACAATACCTAAAGCCATTAATACGCATAGCATTTCGGGCAAGGCGAGGTGGGGGAAAAAACCCACTTAGACCAAAACTTAATAGTAATCGAGATTAAAGTATAAATTGTATTGAAAAAAAGAAATAAAGAATAAAAAAGGGGGGATGGGGACATGGCAGAAATCAGCAATTGTACAAGTTGGTCAACAAACAGCATTGTTTAAAATAGCAAGACATGGGTTGACATTTAGGGGGTAAGGTAAGTTATATGGAGTTAATTAGGTAGAGCTTAGTTTTACTCCTAAACTGGTTGAGAGAGGTACAGCCTTGGACATGATTGGGAAGGTCATTCCACATTCTGGGTCCCTTGATTTGTAGAGCATTTCTAGTTTGGTTAAGTCTAGGTTAAGTCTTTGGTTAAGTCTAATTTCTAGTTTGGTTGGTTGGTTTGGTTAAGTCGCACTCTTGGAATATCAAATAGGTATTTGTTTCTGGTGTGGTGCCCATGGGTTCTCTTACAACCTTCTAGGAAACTTTTAAGGTCAGGAGTGACATTACAGTTCAAAGTTTTAAATATATGGAGTACACATGAGGGGATGTGCAGTGACTTAATATCAAACATATTCAAAGATTTGAGTAAGAAAATACATAATTTTATATAATATGCATAATAAAAGTACATTAAGTACGTGAAAAGTACATTAATACATGACCTATACTACTATAATCAGTCACCAGTCACCTCTTAGTCTCCCTGGCCCCTCGCCTCTAATATATACTGAGCAAAAGGTCACCATTTTGAAGTTAAATAAGCACCCCCAATACCACAAAATAGGTCAAACAGGTATAATAACAGCGTTATGCCTGGTATAATAACCTGGTATAATAACACTGGTATAATAACACAATACATTTCAGTACCTCGCCAACACCCCCATTCACACACTGGCTAAGTACCTTACTATGTAACAGCTGTCGCCTGTAACCCACCAAAGAGCCGTGGGCGTGGGCGTGGGCGTCAGGGCTGACACCCGCCCACCTTGCCACTCTCCACCTTCCAAAATAAACAAGAAAGAATGTAATTGTACCGTACCGTTTTGGACTCACTCAACATGGGTTAACCCATGTATAAGGAGTTCCCAACATAATAATAATCAAATTCAAATTAAAAACTTTGTGCAAAAAAAATGAATTATAATAATAATTATATTCATAAGAATGTGCTTACAGACAACATAACCTTATAATAAGGTTATTATAGAATACCTTATAATAATTATAAAAATATCACTATTATAAGGAGAGTTTGTACAGACGTTACACATAAACCAACTACATCTAGATTCACCATTAAACAAATTATTTTTATGTCACAAGAAGGATAGAAATATGAGCTATATTTGAGAACCTTTACAATGAAAATATAAGAGCAGCCGAAAATATATGTATTTATAAGTTTCTTGGGTCATTACACATAAATTAGCTAATGGCAGAATTCTTGGTCATTTTGGTGGTTGGCAGAGCACAGGACCCATCGCTTCCCGGCGCCGGCGGGGAACTTGCTATATGTTTTTTTTTTTTTTTTGAGGTATGTATGGTCGATTCGTACCCGAGACGATTCGACGAAGCTCGTTTTCTGTTCGTTAAAATCGTCAATCCGTCCTCGACTCAAGTCCATTACATTCAGCGGTCAACCCCACAGACGCATTCATAAATTTTAACATGCTGTTCATTCAAAACGAGAATTTTCTCAAGTATAAATTATTATTATAATATATTGGCATATTGTGTATATATAGACATAGGATAGGTCAGGTGTTTAGGTTATGTTGGCGATTATTTGTATTTGTAGTACGTGGGTGAAGCATTTATAGCGTTGTGATTCGAACAAAATTCGTCAGTGAAGCACTTGTTCCGGTTATGTTCGAACGTCAGCAGTTGTGAGTCATGTGTAAACCGCTTTTCATTCATAAACAGGGGGTTTGGCGGGTGCATGGAATCACTTTTGAATCTTTGTTTGGAGGACGGGCTGAAAATTGTATACTTTACAGCTCGTCCTCCAAACAAAGACACACAAGTGATTCCATGCACCTGCCAAACCCCCTGTTTATGAATGAAAAACGGTTTACACACGACTCACAACTGTTGACGTTCGAACACTTCCGGAACAAGTTTCACTGAAGAATTATAGATTAATGAGAGGTGGGGGAGCTAATGAATTAATCCTCTCGGTTCAAAAGGTGGGAAGTAGTGAACAGTGTATGATGAAGAAGAGAGTATATATGAATAACTTATGTTCTAATGTTATAAAGTATGATGTTATTACAGAGTGTATTGCCATGCCCAAGAGAAAATTCCCACCACCATGGGAGGATTGTAATGTAGATGTAGTAATTACTCCTTTGTAAAAGAAAGAAAGTATGTATGAAATAGGAGAGCTGAGGGCAACATATGATTGTATAATTAGAAAACTGCCTACAGAAAACCCTCTACATGTATATTGTGATGGGTCAGTAGCTAGGGATGGGAAGGCAGGATGTGGCGTCTTGATCAGGGAGTACACTGACAACGGCACTGTAGAAACTGTTGTTGGACGCCGCTTAACAGACAATGTCTCTTCCACGCAGGCTGAACTCCAAGGTGTATTAGCAGGATTACAGGAAGTAGTCAAATGTGGTAAAAATGCCTGCTTCTTTATTGACAGCAGAGGAACGTTAGAGTCTTTAAATAGCAGACGCCCAGTATATCAGAATATTGTGATAGAGTGTAGAGAGAATGTTAAGAAATTAGAAAAAACTGGGTATAAAGTAAGATTCATGTGGATCCATTCAGATGTGGGAATACTGTTGAATGAGGTAGTTGATGACATTGAAGAGAGCCACTGAAAAAACTCTTGTTGATGTTGTATGTCAGTTAACCTTGAAACAAATAAAAACAAGAATCAAGGTGATCCAAGAGGGTGAAGAAATTATAAAGAGAATGGCAATGGTGGACAGTAGTAACACACTTAAGAATTATTCAATAATAAATACAAATTCGTCCTTCACCTATGGTAAAGGAAAGTCTACTTGGAAGGATTCAATTTACATGAGATTAAGATTAGGATACAAATATATCTGGCAATACGGTGTTGATGTCAGTGAAAAAGATAAGGAGTGTAAATTATGTAATATGCCGCACGCCCACACCTTAGAACATTATGTATTAGAGTGTCAACTTATTGAAAACTATAGAAATAAGGAAATAAATAGTGTACCACATCAAATTGTTTGGATGTGTGATAATGGTATGATAGACAGTATACTTAGGAGCTACAAGAATTTTGCCCCAAGAGTGTAACAATTATATGCTGTGCTTACTATATTAACCTGCAATGTTAAATGGGATTCTTGTAATGTTATTTGTCTATTTGTACTCACAGCATTTGTGCGCCCCTTGAGGGACTTGAAGTAGAGGAGGGTAGAAATAGCCTAAGCTACTCTATCCCTTTGAGATGTATTTATTGCTTATCTCAATAAACATACTTGAATGTATGGGTTGCACAATTAATGAACTAAACTAACACGACAATAATATCAAAACACATTGTTATTTATATATTACTACCCCTATCATAATCTGCAACACAATCGGATTCGTTCTCGACTCACAATCGAGAATTCCGAGTTCGAATCCAGGGCGAGTAGGAAATGATTGGGTGTGTTTTCTATCACCTAATGCCTCTGTTCACCTAGCAGTAAATTGGAACCTCGGAGTTAGAAAGCTGCTACAGGATGCATCCTGGGAATGTGTGTGTGTTAGAGAAAAATATATGTAGTAGATATGATGGAGGAAACGAAGTTTTGGCATTTACTTGGCATAAGCAAATAAATAAATAAACAAATAAATAAATACATAATAAACAAACAAACAAATAAACAAACATAAATAATTAAATAAATAAATTACAAAGAAATAAACAACAACAAACAAATAAATAAACAAATAAATAAGCAAATACATAAATAAACAACTAAATAAATAAATACACAAATAAATAAAACATAAACAAATAAATAAATAAAAAAATAAAAAAAATAAACAAACGAATCAATAAATAAACATATAAATAAATAAACAAATCAATAAATAAACTAATAAATAAATAAATAAATACATAAATAAATATACTTATAAATAACGTTTTCTTTAATTAATTCTAATGCTAGTAGGCGAGAACAGTTGTGAACGGCAGCTAACGCACAAATACATGAGCGCCCAAAACACTTTAACACAAAAGACAGAGGTTTTTATTATTTAATATTACATATTAGGTACTTCCCTCTAATGTTTATTATTATTTACAAGTATAACTATCACGTAATAAATATAACAGGAATTTATCCAAAAACTGGCCATAGTCTTATAATTTGTGCGTTCGATCATGTTCGTGGACCTTCGGACGTGTTGTGTTTACGCTGGCGGGCGTCGCTCTTACGAAATTATGTCTATTTAATTTAATCAAGAATTTAACTGTTAATAGCATTATATTGTGGTTTTAATATTAAGCAATTTTATATATATACAGATGCGAAAGGTACAAATTTTGTGTAGGAAATGGTAATAAATATATGTAGTGGTGTGTAGTATCCCCTCGCCGCTCCCCGCCCACTGTTTACACTCTCAGCTTCCCGACGCCGCCGCCGCCGCCACAACGGTGCTCGCAGCCACAGCTCACAACAACAGCTCTGTCACATTTATAAATACACATACACACACCTGAGCGTTACATACGTGTACCGGTATACGCATACATTGTAGTGTTGGGGTGATGTGTGGTGCCGCGGGATGGTGCAGTGAGTGCAGTGAGCCACAGACAATAGAGACACTTGGTTGAGGACTTGGGCTATAGGTCTCACTTGAGTGTTTCACTGCTCACAGACGCCCTGTGAGCATTACTCACATTGGCAGTGTACCAACACGTGTTTACATCATGCATCTTAGTTGTCTCTGTGCATTTATTATACCATTAGTACCTTGTGGATCTCGAGTCGTTACCTGTTCATCTCATCTCATAAGACATCTCTACAGTATAACGAAAGCAGACAATGTCACATAAGGTCCTCACTTTTAGACACAAGATATAGCAAAGTTTGATGTGTAAATTGACACAGGTGTAGATTTGACAAAGGTTACATCTGGAATTATAGATCATGCACTGTTGTTGCTTGTTAATTAATATTCCACAACCTTCCACAACCAGCAACATTAATGTTCCAGAGGGCGCCTGACAGCTGGGTGGACAGCGCTTCGAATTCGTAGTCCTGAGGTTCTGGGTTCGATCTCCAGGGAAGCGGAAACAACTGGGCATAAAATTTCTTTCACCCTGATGCCCCTGTACCTGGGACTTAGGCAGCTGCTACAGGCTGAGCAGCGTACACAATTTGCCAATTTGCTTCCCTGGGGGTGTGTAACAAAAAGGAGGCCTGGTCGAGGACTGGGCCGCGGGGACGCTAAGCCCCGAAATCATCTCAAGATAACCTCAAGATAACTTTCTTCCATTGACTAATGATGGTTATATTAATCTACCAAATGGTTCACTTGAATTAGATTATGCTGTAGGTAGATCTAAGGTAGGCCTGACCTTACCAGCATTTGACACATTAGTTTCATACATTTACCTGATTTACCTGTATTTATATATAAATACTATTTTGTTATTGATAAGAATGTATATGATAACCATTTTGTATATGCACACTTTGCACTTGTTTGCTTCACACATTCCTACAAATAATATAGTAAATACTGTATTAATGCAATATACAAAGGAACATGGTACAGTGGTTTCTTAGAAGGTACAATAATTGTGTGTTCTATAAAGCCACTGGTTAGTGTTCCAGGCTTGTGCACAGTGTTCCAGGCTTGTGCACAGTGTTCCAGGCTTGTACACATTATTCCAGGCTTGTACACATTGTTCCAGGCTTGTGCACAGTGTTCCAAGCTTGTACACATTTTTCCAGGCTTGTACACATTGTTTGAGGCTTGTACACATTGTTCCAGGCTTGTACACATTGTTCCAGGCTTGTACACAGTGTTCCAGGCTTGTACACAGTGTTCCAGGCTTGTACACAGTGTTCCAGGCTTGTACACAGTGTTCCAGGCTTGTACACAGTGTTCCAGGCTTGTACACATTGTTCCAGGCTTGTACACATTGTTCCAGGCTTGTACATTGTTTTCCAATCTTGTACACATTGTTCCAGGCTTGTACATTGTGTTTGAGGCTTGTACACAGTGTTCGAGGCTTGTACACAGTGTTCCAGGCTTGTGCACAGTGTACCAGGCTTGTACACATAGTTCCAGGCTTGTACATTGTGTTCCAGCCATGTACACATTGTTCCAGGCTTGTACACATTGTTCCAGGCTTGTAGATTGTGTTCCTTGCTTGTACACATTGTTCCAGGCTTGTACATTGTGTTCCAGGCTTGTACACATTATTCCAGGCTTGTACACATTATTCCAGGCTTGTAGACTGTTCCAGTCTTGTACACATTGTTCCAGGCTTGTACACAGTGTTCTAGGCTTGTACACATTGTTCTAGGTTTGTACATTGTTCTTGGCTTTGTGTTGTGTTGATTGTAATCTCCCATGCTGGGTAGATAGTCTTGTCACAGTTGGTGTTATTAGTTCTTTACCACTTATGTTGTCTGTACTGTACTGCGAGTAAGTGGTACATTTATCCAAATTTCACCTGAGGGCCACTAACACTAGTGGCCTTAATGAGGACAGGAAGCTGGCAGCTTGTTAAAGGTTTCCCACTCCCATTTTCCCCTGGTGATCTTTTCAAGTTGGATTTTAAAATTTAAGTTTTGGCATTTATGGCATCGGTGGGTAGGCTGTTCCTTGTTGCATACAGGAGGTTGCTTCTACATATCTGGCAACATCTCCATACCAGACAGCTGGTGGGAATGTATTACAGTGGCTGTGATTTCTTACAGAAATCACTGTTTTCCAACTCATTTTATATTTCTTTTATTTGACTGGTGCTGCTTGCAAGATTGATATCAACATTATCTTGTATGCCTGCTCTGGCTAATTCGTCTGCAATTTCATTGCCATTGATTCTTACATGACTAGGAACTTAATTAATTATGACTTCCGCCACTACATTCTAGGTCTTTTTGGCCCATTTCCTTTCAGTATTATGCTGACCTTTCTTAATGGTGGTTGGTACCCTGAAATGTAGAATTCCCCCTTCCCTTAACCCTTCTCTTCACCCATTAGTTTCACTACTGTAATTCAATGACGTTTGGATTTTCTCCCTTATTGTATACATATACTGTACTGTAATGAAGCAGCCTGGTATGCTATATGTGAGTGCTGTATAGACATCTTAAGTTTTTGGCACTGATACTAGCAGGCTGAAAGATTTCTTGGGTCTTTCTGGTTTTGCTTGTATCCTGCACACAATTGCCAGAATATTGTCACTCTGGCTTCATGTATAAGTATCTGTAAAAATAAAGTCTTAGTTTGGTTTGCAGTTCTTTGATTATGGATTTACTGTATATGGTAGTCAATTAATGAAAAATGCCTAAATAAAATTGTCATTTGTTCACACCATCATTGGTGGATGGAACATATTGGCTGCTACTACGTAGCATGCAAATGATGGCACCTTACTTGTTAACTCAGAATTACGTATAACAATATAGAATACTGTACTGTACAGTATTACTCAATCTGGATACATTCAAGGTAGGCACATATATGTTCAATATCTCTGGAACGTCATCTTCTTAATAAAGTTAAGAAAGGGAGTTTCAATACACTTGACACTTATTTTATATGAAGTCCTGCAGCATATTCATTCTTGGTAGTACAGTACTGTACATTCTGTACATAGTCGACAGGACTTTACTACATAGGTATGGCACAAATCATGTGTCATTTTCTTAATTTGTCTTGTAAATACTGAAGTTTTCTCAGCTGTTGTGGTTTTAAATAAATGACATTTTGGAATAAAACCTAGTATGCCGAATTATAATACAGTATACTGATACACTGTTGGATCAAATTAGGATATACAGTATAAACTATAGTAAGTTGGATATATATTTCTTGCTCATGGAGGGCTAATTTATTATTCTACACGCCAATAATTTTGCAACATGTTGTATATATTACAAGGTTTTTTCATGCTTTCAGGCATTTCATGCCATGTGTCCATTTCACAAGATGTGTGTTCACAGTAAGGAGGTTAATTCGGAAGAAAATTATCATGACACTATTGTTAATAGAAATAAAAAAAATAATGTTATTAAAATAAAATCAGAAGATGAAGTTGAGAGACCTTGTGTTCCAGAAGAGGCATATTCAGATTACCAGCACGGAGAGACACTGGCCGACGAAGACCCACCTGTAGAGAGCTTTTTATCTTTCGTACAAATAAAGGAGGGTGAGTGTATTTTCTGTCAAATGTCTATTAACATACAGTATTTATAATTTTTTTTTTAAGCTGTGTGTTGAATTAAGTTTTTCTTGTACAATATTATAAAATATTTTGCATGTAGGTTTCAGTTTTTTTGCTAATTGTTTTATTATTTATTTGTGTGTTTATTATTATTATTATTATTATTATTATTATTATTATTATTATTATTATTTATTACTGTATAGTAAGAATAAGCTTTTATTTTACATGTAACCTGTTATAGCATTTATTACCACAGTAAACATAATCACAAATTGTAATTGAATATTAATAATGTGCTGTATTCTGTTTTAACGTACCATAGTAATTTACCAATATACCTGTAGCTCTTAGTATGGGAAATCGTGTGTACATATCTGGACTGGCTCAAGATTTCCCTGATGCATTGGCTCAGGTACCACAAAGACACTGGCACCACATACACAACCACAAAACTACCAGGTCTATGGACTTGTGCAGGTGTACTGAACACCAGGACCAGAATGAGATATATACAAGAGTTGTTACATTCTTGTACAGCCACTAGTACGCGTAGCGTTTCGGGCAAGTCCTTAATCCTAAGGGTCCCTGGAATACGATTCCCTGCCGCGAAGAATCGTGTGTGCCTCATAGAGGCGAGGGAAGCATGGAGGATCAGAAATCAATCTCATAAGCAAGTAAATCTGCACAGAAATTTACAGGCAGCTTGGGTCAGTCAGGGATCCAACCTCTTTCCTTCTTCACGCCAGTGATTGGCCCCAACACTTTTTTGCAGGGACATTTTCCGAGCCAAGTGAGATGAGCATTCCTTGTTGCTTAAATGTCCTGTAGGGGCTAGACTTAGTAATTTTTTTTTATTATGCTTCACCATTGTGATTTGAAAGTCATCCCTTTAGGGGGGAGCCTTGTTAGCAGCCCCTCCTCACTGCTTCTTGGACCCATTAGATTGCATGGCAGAGGTACAATAATAGAAATGTCCTTTGATCTGTAAGAACACCACAGGACATCCTGGAAAACTACAAATAGCAGCATTGGGTGGAGAAGCTATAGTTAATTGACTGAATACACATGCTAGACAATAAATCTTCTAGGAACGAGGGGCTCCATCCCCCCAAACAGTCACATACGGGCAGGTTTTCAAGGTGCAGGGAAAGTGTCTCTTGACAAGCAAACTTTAAATTCTAACTTCAAATGCTCTGCAAGGGAAGGCATAAATAGCCACAGCTCACAAGTCATGTCCACTACTTGAGCACACCTTCAGCAGGTCTTTAACTTTTATAAACAGTTAGCATGTCTCGATTTCTCCTGAAGCAGCAGAAATAATCACGTCTGCTACTTAAAAGCAAGGTGACTTGAAGAGTCACCTTCTAGAAGAAATGGCCCACAACCCCTGAAGGGTATCTGGTGGAGTATTGTGGAAAACAAGTCGAACCCAAGAATGGAAACCCTAGCCACTGTTTTAAGCAAAAAGGGAATGCAAGAGTGCACACACTATAGGTAGCAAAAACATAATCATGAAGCATAGATAAAGCAATGGCTCTGGTGTAATGCAATGGTCCAGAAAAAGCCAACACCATCTAGTTGAAAGCAAGAAGCTGATGATGAGCCTCGGAGAGGTTGAAGGAGTTGGGCAGGTTACATCAGGCAGAAAACTGAGTAGGTAGGCTTCCTGAGATCACAGGTGACCTGAGTTGGTATCTGTTGGCATTGTGCTGAATTGCAGTTAGGGTATTATCTGTTATATTTTTAAGCCCTTTGGTAGATTTGCACACATAAGTAACAAGGATGAATATTTGCTTTAAACAAGTCTGGTACATAACCACTTGGTGGGGTTACTATGTACTGTACTAACAAAAGTGTGACTACTAACTGCAGTTCTTGACCATCATTTGGACATACAGTACTGTCTAACCTCATTAATTTGGATCATTTGAGAACGACCCGAGTCCAAATGACAGAGATTCGAATTGGTGGGATTTCCTACAACCCATGTAAAAAAAATGTACTGCAACTAACTTAATTCATATTTCTGCATACAATAAACAAATATACATTGTTAAGGAAGGATTTACATAAAAATATATTAGAATGACAACAAATTTGATCTTGTCATTATTGAGTTATGTCTCAATACAAAAAATTAACCAAAAACCTATTTATCGGCCATGGCTGAGCTCAGGATATTGACTGTGGGGTCCACTAGGCAGAAACTGGAGGCATTTCCTTGTGACCCTGTTTACTAGTATAGTAATGATACCTGGTGGTGGTAGGTAGTTTTGTAGGTAATGGTAACCCCAGAATGCTATTTAGTGCTTTCCAGGGGGTTTGAAATTTTTTGTAGCGAGCTGGTTCTTTGGTGATGGCTTGAGCTAGATTTGTCATTGTCTTACTTATCCACTTGTTATCCCTGATAAAAGCACTTGAAAACATTAGCGTCAGACTTGGGGCAGATATCCAACTGACTTCGGGTTTAGGAAGCTTTCAAGGAAGTTTTGGCTCAAAAGTAACCATGTGAATGTTATACTGCTGCAATTCATTCTCTTAGATATCTAAATGCTCAGGTCTTCTTCAAGGCATGTGACCTGACAGCCTCTACATATTTAGTACAGTGTATTGCATTATGATTTTTTTAAGATGTTCTTTGAAAATTTTTGTACAGTATTTGAGTGAAATAAAAGATTTTGACTTTGACCCTGAATTTTTAGCATCCTCAAAGAAATGACCAAGACATTAAATGTATTTTACTTTACTTTTGGTGCTATTTTGTATTCATATTACTAGATTGGGAAAGATCAGCTTATTGCAGACAATGAGTCAGAATAACTTGGTGGAATGTACGATGATCAAGCCACACACCAGAAGATGAAGCGACGACGACATTTTGGTCCGTCCTGGACCATTATCAAGTCGATTATCACAATCAATTTGATAATGATCGGGGACAGACCGAAACGTTGTCGTCTCTTCGTCTTCTGGTGTGTGATTTGGTCATCAGCTTAATTACAAGATCTGATAGGAAGAGTTAAAATAATATTGAAAACATTTACAGTGTGATAATCCAGCAGGGACAGTAATATCATACCACATACTGTACAGGGTATTTAGATTGTTTGGGTTACTTTAACTTTACCTGATCTAGTATCAATACATATGCAACATCTATATAATATAAATATTGATTGTGATATATTTTCCTTGAGTGGCAAAGCTCTGAAGCTAGTAAGATTTTAAGTAGTGTTGAGAAATATTTAATGTTTATAATGTAGGAAATTACTGAATTATTGCAGAAAAGTTAATAATTTTTCTAAAATTTGTCATGTGCAGAACTTTGATTCTTCCCACTTCTGACATCATTAGTAGGTTGAGAGATCAAATTGGTATGACAGTTTTTTTTATTCTGCACTAAATTATCATTAATTATACAATGATGAATTGATGGCCAGTTCTAAAGTTTATGATCCGACTAATTGTCAATGTACAGTATACAACAGATTTACTCTGATTCCAGTAAAATTCCAAATGCTGTCATATTCTACCATGCTCGGTTTCAAAAGTAAACTGTCGGTGACATCAACAATGGAACATCGATCTTGACTGGAGTTTGCTTGGTTGATTTACAAGGCAGGTGAAAAATTATAACTTTGTCCAATATCACAATTGGAGCATTATATGACCTCGGATGTTCTTGGCCAAAAATGTATGAAATGTATTTTTTATTTCATTGCAATTCATACTAAATTATACTTTTGACTAATAAGATGTGCAGTGTTTGGCTTAAAAGTTGCATTATTGTTGCCATTTTCAAGACATAATTCTGATGAACCTACTATTTGTAAACAATTTGAATTAGTGTACCTCAGTTGGTAGTTGTTTATTTATTATGTGGTATGTATGAGGGAGATCAAGGTAACACATCTAGAGAAAAGTGCATTAGTCTGATAGGAGTAATTTGTACATATCAAATTTGATGTATGCAGATGATAACTCTCGCTCTTAAAAAGAACTGTGTATATACTGTATTGTGAAATGAATGTGATTAGTGAATTGAAGGAAGTGGTTGATCAGTTTAAGCACCTGGGGTGTAATTACCAAGTTTAGTTACAGGATGAGAGCTGTGCTCGTGGTGTCCTGTCTTCCTAGCACTCTTTGTCATATAGCGCTATGAAACTACTGACGGTTTTAGCCTCCACCAAATCACTTGTTCCAACCGTCTACCCCTCTTTTTTTGCAAAAGAAATCTTTCTAATATTTTTTGGGTCTTTATTTCCTTAGCTTGAATCTGTGTCCTCATATGCAATTGTTAAGAGGTATTTGTGCATTCGAAGTTGAGAATCGAGTCAGAGAATGAAAGTGGGTGGTGCAATGAAAGTCCTTGTTCGGAAACAAAAGTTAGAAATACATGCATCAAGACTAAAAGATATCAACCAAGAACAAGATAACAACATCAAAAGGACTACTAGATGCCTAGAATCTGAACATCAGTCATGGATAAAACTGCAAAGAAAGTCAACAAAGCAGCAAGCATTTATGCATCCCAAGAAACTGGATGATCAGCCTGCTGACTGGGCTGTACCACTATGTAAAGGACCTGGGAAAGTGAACCTTGGAACAAGGAATGTGAGAAATAGGCAAAAAGCAGCTGTGATGCCAACAATGTGAGGAGCCCACAAAATTGCAGCACCACAACCACAGGACTGCATAACAAACCCCTGGCGGGAGGTAGGAGAATGTCTGAAGTAGCAGACAACAGAAGAGGATACAGCTGGTCTCCCTGAAAAAGCAGAAAGAGGGACTTGGCCTATGGCAAATGAAATGAGGTGGCTGAATAGGCAGCAAGTGGTAATTTATGTAGCACCAGGCCATTATAAAACACTAACACTGTCAAGCTATTGCACAGCTGCTGTAGAGAAAATTGCCAATCTGGCACAAAAAAGACTGCCATCTGACTTTGAAACAGGGCAAGGCTAAGAAGCGCCATACACAAAGATTGGTGGAAATAATGAACCATCAAGGCTGGGTGCACTGCTGAATCTTGGTAGTCAGGACCTCAGGAAGGAAAAGGGTCGGGGTAATGAGTGAGGATCAGGAACTACAGCTGAATTGGCTACATGGACATCTACAGACTTAATGTGGTGCAACCTGATCAACATGGTAGGCAGCAGCTGAACTTTGGGAAGTTGAAAATCTAAGTCCATCATCCCCAAGCCAGAGGAATAGGCCTTTTGTGAATGCCATACAAACCAAAAACTGTGCCCTCCCCCCATTGACTGGATTCTGCATGAATATGCAGAGGCAAACAGGCCCATCCTTTGTAGGCAATTGAATGGTCTATAAAGCAAGGGGAAAGGAGGCCCCTTATGCATCTCACTCCATTGAAATAGAAAGGAGACACTGACTAAGAGAATGAATGGGAACAGCACTGAGGACCAAAGCCAAAGAAGCCAGTATGATCTGTCGAGGACCGTTGTAAAGTTCCCTCTTGAAGTGAGGCATAATATTGGCTACTATAAATGTGGCCTAATAGTGAGAAGGCTCTTACCTCGGGGGAGCAACTGGGTGACGTAGTTCCGCAAATGATTTTTGTATACTCTCGGCTACATTATTTATAGTACAGGTGTTCTCATTTTCAAATTTAATATCCCTCATCCAATTCATAGTATGCTGCCTATCTTATATCCAGCAGCACTTGATTTGATAATTCATATTGAAGAGTTTATCTTGCAAATACAGCTTGTCTTGAAATAGTGACAGTATTTATAGCGTCCATTTGATCAACTGTACAAAAAATGACTCCTGGACTCAAAACATTTAGTGTTTTGTAATAGTCAACTTGCCCAAGTAGCATTCATTACTAAGAAAATATGCCCTCTACAAAGTTAATAGTATAAAATGTGAACATTGTTGATTGCAACTGTCTGTTTTGTATATGTTGTTTATGTGTGGGTGGGCGACAGTGTTGGTATTGTGTCTGTGAAAGATTAGAAAAGAAAAGATAAGAGAAAGAGAGGGGGGGAAATGAGTGAAAGGGAGGTAGAGAAAGATGGAGAACAGTGAGTGAAAGGGACGGGTGGAGAGAGAGATGGGGGGCGAGTGAAAGAGGGGTGAGAAGAAGATATTAGAAATAGACATAATACTTTTATACATTTATTTCAGAATTCAGAACTACTGTATAATTATAATTCTTAATAATTTTTCCAGAGCCACAGGATATCTCCACTTTAACTGGTAATGGCGAGGTGCCCTCTTCTCATGCAGACCTGTCTTGCAGTGACGATAACAGCTTCTCTTCATGTATTTATCCTGTAAGTTCATCTAATATTTTGTTTGTCATTACTATACATATCATACAATTTGTTATACATATACTGTACAGTATATTCATGGGTTGCAACATTGTCCTTTTCTGGAGGAGCCCTTTGGTAGCCTACTGAAGCTAATCTTGCTGAGATTGCTCCTGTCTCCTAGGTCACATCAGTCACTGGAGTTATATTTGGCCTAGTGGGGACTACAGCCAGAACCTGGCCTCAATCACAGGGGCATTGAGGGCGAGTGACATTCTGCCACCCCATGGGGGTCACTTACTCTCTTGCACAGGATATTTCACTTGCTCTCTGCACTTCTGTGCAAAGAGAGCCATGTTCTGGCTCTCATCCCCAGTAGGCCAAACTCTCACGATTTGTGTGACCTAGTAGATAGGAGCAATCTCAGTGTGATAGCTTCAGGGAGCCACCAGGACTCAACCAGAAAAAGACAATTCATCGTATTCAATGCTGGTATTTATGTTACATTTCCTCATTTGTTAAAATGGTGTGCATGCAAATAAACCTAATATTTGCCAAGGAACTGGACTGAGTAAAAATGGTTTGTTAGGAGAGATTGAATGATTGATACTGTAATGTTTAATGTGTATGTGGCAAATCACCTACATATACTTTCATTGATCTTTTGTTCCAACAATTTAACACGACCCACTAAAAATCAGATAGTTCTTCCACCAAAAAGACAAAAAATGGCACACTCAACAAAATGGTTCAACAAATTCCTGGTAATTCTTGGAATCTCCGGTGAAATCGTATGTTTACCAATTGGTAAATTTAATATTGTGGTGGTGTTATTGAGTTTCTGAAGGATTGGAGTCACTTGATGTTCAGTAATAGGATATGGTGAAGAGAGATCGACTGGAACAGAAATGGGAAGACGTGAGCGGGGAAGTAGTGAATCATCATCACATAGTAAGCACTCGGATACAGTGAGTCAGGGAGATGACACAACTAGTAAAAAAAAAAGAAATGAAGGTTGCACAAGGAATCATTTACCCCAAGTATTAGTGAGAGTGGCTTTACTAAGGCCAAGTAATATGATGGAGCAGTATTGCGCATCAACTGGGAATCAAGAAAAAGCCAGGGAAGAAAAGACTCACAATGACAACTGACACACAAGTCAGATGCCAAAGAGATAAAAAAAAGGAGGCAGAAAGCTACCTCATACTGCCACCTTAAGAAAAGACACACATGCATAACTCCACTCCCATGCAAGTGGCAGTGAAACTCCATATGCAGGAACCCGTGGAGAATCTTGAACCTTGAATAAACAATGAAAACAAATGTTTTGTAAAAACATAAACCTTATTCTTAAAACAGAATGGTAGATGAATGGAATATGTTGCACGAGGGGGGTTTTGTATGTCAACTCTATTAGAAGCTTCAAAATTTTATACAGAAGATTACAGTACATAGTAGGATGATAGGACACTCATGAACTTGGCTCTTATTCTGTAACTACACTTAGTTAAATGCACCTTACAGCAAATATTAGACACCATACACACACTCAACCACATTATCTTTCTTTCTAGAGTTTAAGATGCAGTATGTGGAAGTGTCAAGCATTATGAAATTTGTTATGTTGACTGATGCCATATTAGCTTGTTGACCAGCTATGTGAACAATTATGTCGTGGAGCTGTTGGGAAGCAATACAACTATGAACAGATTGAATGTTGCATTCCTTTCCTAGAGTTATAGAAACACTTTTAACAAATATTTTGTGATCAGATTGTATTTCTTTCTTGGATATAACAAATAATATTGTAAGTTACATTTCTGTAGATTTTAAATATGGCTGCATATGACCATAAAGAGTTAATATTCAAATTGTACGAGTGTTTTCTTTGGAAACCGGAATTATGCTGAAGGATACATTTTCAAAAGATATAAATATTGTTTTACATTGAAGCTGGATGAAATTTGGAGGCTTAGAATAATTTTAGTTTCAATTTTGGTTTCATAGGAGATACGCAACATTGAGCTGGAGAGTTGCTTCAACAACCAAAACTGGCCTTTAACTGCAGGCAGTGTATGGATCCCGATATACATAAAAAGTAGTTGGCTGAGTTTGATTGTTTTAAAACAATGTAAGTTTACTTTATTGTGGTAATAAGAAAAAATCATTAATAACGATGACATGCATAGAGAAAGTTTAATGCTTTAAAGCTTTTTTGTTTAATTAACTTAGGATTTTTTCTTCGTAACTGAGTTCTGCGACTACAGTGTTTTTAATTTTCTTCAGCTTTATGATTCAGTGACTGAAGACCTAGCAAAAATGAGACGAGCAAAAGCAGCTGCAGCACGGAGAGAGTGTCGTCGCCGACAATTTGAGGCAATGACTGAAGAAGAAAGAAAAGAACGGCATAGACTAGAAGCTATAGCCCAAAAAAAGTATCGTCAACGAAAGCTAGAAAGTATGACTGAAGAGGAGCGACTAGCATATCGTGCTACTATAGCTGAAACACAGCGAACGCGTCGCCATCATCGTATGGATAACATGACTGAAGAAGAGCTGAAGGCACATCGTGCAGCTGCAGCTGCAGCTCAAAGACAAAAACGCCAACTACAAAGACAACAAATGAGTGAAGAGGAGCTGCAAATGCATCGAGCTGTTGAAGCTGCTTTACGACGCAGCCGTAGGCAGGCAAATACAAAAAGAGAATTGAGTACACATCGCAGAGCAGCAGCAGATGTAGCAAGAAGAGAAATTCAGCAGTGCCAAATAGAAGAAGGGATAGATGATGAACAAATTGAACAATATGTATTAGCAGCAAGTTCGGCACGACAAGAATTGAGGCAGATTAGGAGAGAGACTCCTTCGGATTCTCAACAGCCTGCTGTCACAGGAGGAGACACTTCACCTGAAGATTTGATGGTGCAGCTATTGATGGTGGGTATTAAGCATTTCAAACAAATATATTTTATATTCATCATAGTTATTTAAATTGTCTGGCATCTGTTTTCTGTGATCTTTAACTATGCAGAAGTGATGTTTATGCAGTATGTCTTAGGTGCATGTCATCCATACATTTGATACGCAACCCCACACATCTGAAAATGAAATGATGACATTTCGTTCCGTCCTGGACCTTTATCAAGTCATCATTTCTTCATTTTCAGATGTATGAGTTGGGTATCAGCTCTTCAGCCACATTGTGACTCATTGTCTGCTCATCCATACAATTTTCATGACAATACATCTACACATACATACATACAACTTCCACTGTCTTTTCTAGGGGAGCTCCGTCTGCTCCCTGGAGCTATCCAGGCTGAATGGATATGTATAACTTTCTGGCATCAGTCAATGCATGGAGTTCTTGCCTACCGGGGACCACAAGCCAGAACCTGGCCCCCTCTAGAGAGGCATGAGGAGCAGTGACCTATAGAGACCCCCCCTTTATTATTGGGAGCATTCTATGTCTGCCATTGACCGGGATAGGCACCCAGAAAGGTAGGTGCCCCAAAACAAACCCCTATTCTGATAAAACTATTGCGACCGAAGACCGAACAAGTGGACAGAACTCCCCAAACAAAAACTAGCAATGAGCATGAGGTCATCACGCACACCCCCCCCCCTCCCAGGAGGGGGAAGGGGCGGCCCCAGACCTAATTGCCGGCAACCCACCCTTCAGTTCTTGGCTGATGGGAGTCTGGTGCGGTCGTGTCTCTGGCTCCAGCGTTTTGTTACAGTTCTGTGGCTTGTGGTGTGAGCTGTCCCTTCCGGTGGTGCGTGGGCCAGGAGTGATATTCTACGGTGTTCGGGCTGCATGCGCCTAGAGTTTCCTTCCCTAGGTGCCCTGTAAGTGCTGCCCTTGGGGCCACCTTCCACAAGTCACCTCGGGATCTACCTCCGCTGTGCTATGTACTGCTCGGTATTTGGCCAGCCTTGGGTTCGGCTGGGGCTTTTCTTGCCCTTGTTTGTCTTTGGGTAGGGGTAGTTTTCGTCATTAGCAGGGGCACAGGGTACTGCACAGCTAGTTTTCACCAATAACAGCGGATTTCACCAACATACATACATTTCACCAACATACCCCGGCTCTGTTCCGCCTGGGGTATGTTGTTCTCTTGCAGGGTTTTTCTTTTGTTTTTGTTTTCCGCCTGGTGGGCGGGTCTGCCCTTGTGTCCCTCTTCTCTGTTCTTGGGGTTATTGTATCCATCTACCTTGTTTTGGTGGTCCACCCCACCTTGGCCCCCATGAGTGTACACGTCCCGGGGGTTCAGCTATAGAAGTTTTGTTGGTAGATTGGGCGCCGGTTTGCAGTACCCTGCCTGGGCTTCCCTTAGCGTGTATCCAAGGCTAAGGGCCCTGGGAAATTCCATGGGGGCTACGTGGTCCGATGGATGTGACCCCCGAGTCATCCCCCTTGCTTCTTGCAAGTTTGAAGGTTGCTCTGTCCCTTGGTCTCTGGGGATCACTCATCGGTTTTGCCTCCACCATGCTGCCTGTTGGGTCGGTGATTGTTTTGACCCGGAGTCGTGTGACGTGTGTTGTCTGTACGTACTCCAGTTCACCCTGGCTACTGGGCCTGATATGCAGGTGCGAGCAGCTGAGGCATTGCATGCTAGATTTAGGATGCTACAACGAGCTAGGTTGGTTGCTGCCCTGGATGCCCCAAGACTGCCCCTTTTTAGTTATAGGGATCCGGGCTTGGGGGGTGGGAGTCGCTTCGGCTCTGGTTCCATCCACCCTCCTAGTCCTTCCCCTTCTGTCGTTCATTCGGTTCCCCATCCCTTGCTTCCGGCTCCAAAATGTCTGAGGGTTTCGGAGTCAGGGCACGGTTTAGTTGGTTTGGAGACTCAGGCGGTCTCGGAGGTGCCCCCTTCTGGGGCTGCGGCGGAGGCTTTCGAGCCTGGTCCTTCTGCCAGAGCTTCTGGGTCTGGCCAGTGGACCCCTTTCATTTCTGCTTTTTCGGCTGCTCCCGCCTTTTCTATAGAGGTGGGGGGGGTCAGGAGGACAGCTCGGCCCCGGGTCCTCAGGGTGAGGCTCCCGGGGTTGGGGAAGGGTTGGCTTGGGGGCCTTGGGCCCCATTGGACCCCGCCTGGGTTTTTCTACCCTCTGAGTAGGGCTTGGTGTTACAAGGAAAGGGGTTCTCTTTCGCTCCCTTGCATACAAATTGGACTTGGTACTCACCTAATTGTGCTTGCGGGGATTGAGCTTTGGCTCATTGGTCCCGCCTCTCAACTGTCAATCAACTGGTGTACAGATTGGTGTCCATCCCTCCCCAGGTTCGGTTCCGTGATCCTGCGGGTTCTTCGGTTCCGTCTTTCCGGAGGTTTCCGGCTTCCCGTGTTTTGTCTTCGGAGGTGCGGGAAGCCTTGGCGACTTACCTCCTGCTTAACCCGAATTATGCTTTTGTGATGGATTCGCGTTCCTTTATATACGGATCTTCTGGTTCGTACTGGGTTCGTCATGAAGTTCCGGAGTCGTCCTGGTTGGCAGACTGTCCTCTCTTTTCGTTGGAGGGTTGGCACACGTTCTGTCGTTCCTTGTGCGCTTGAGTGGCAAGAGACTTCTACGGGATTCCAGGTTTTCCTGTGGGGCGACTTCGAGCATCTTCATGCTTGTTTGTTCGCTCCTGCCCTTCCGCAGGATGTTGGTGTCATGCAGCTTCACGTGCAGGTTCCTTCACTTTCGGCTGCCTTGGTTGCGGAGGATTTGCGGACTTGTGGCCTACTTGCTTTGGCCCTGCGTTTCTTTTCCCTCCTTGAGCTGTCCTCGGATTGGCTTGAGTAGGATGTGGGGTGCTTGGGGCCGCTGCCGGGTCCGGTGCCCTGCTCTCTGCAGTGCAGGCATCATCTGCTTCGTTGAAGCTCTTTGCACCCATCCTGGGTGATGCGGTTTTGCGGTTCTATGCTTCTCGTGTTGTCTCCGGAGCTTGGGTAGTCATCTGTGGATAGTTAGCTCCGGGGAGCCGATGGGGTTCCCCCCCCCCCAGAAAACCAGCATTAAATGTAATGAAACCATTTCCTGGGTGAGACCCGGAGGCTCCCTGGCAACCTTCCCTCCCTCCAGTCGGCGTTTTTTCGCGTGTTTTGACATCCAGCCTCAGAACTGATGGGTGGATAGCCGGCGTGAGAGGTCTGGGGAGAGCAGAAGGGGGAGCAGCTCCCCCCTCCTTCCTGGGGAAGGGGGAGCTGCGCAGACAGAGGCGCGGTAATGTGTGATGTCATACTTGTCTGCTTGTTCTCTGTTGGGCAGTTCTATCCACTAGTTAGGCTTTTGGTAGCAATTTTTACCAGAATAGGGGTTTGTTTTGGGATGCTTACCTTTCTGGATGTTTGACCTGGTCAATGGCAGACATAGAATACTTCCAACCACACGGGGGTTTCTATAGGCCATTGCTCCCCTTGCCTCTCTGAGGGGGGCCAGGTTCTAGCCATGGTTCCTGGTAGGCCCTAAGAACTCCGTACACATGACTGATGCCAAAGCCTGACATTAACATAGCAGCCTGGTATAGCTCCGGGGAGCCTCTGGGTCTCACCCAGAAAATGGCGTTTCATTGCATTCAACGCTGGTATTTTGCACTGGTAGGCATGCCGGGTACTGTGCAGCTAGTTTTCACCTATTAACACTTTCGCTCACCCCGCGCGCCACCCCTCGACAGGGCGATATGGGCCCCAGCGTGTCACGGAAGCGCGCGTTAATTCCGAAAAGTGTATACTCTCTTCAACTTTGTCACCTCAATTCTCCTTCTACGAGAATAAATTTGGTATCATTGTGTTCGCAATAAAATTCTCTACAGCACTAAATGCATATAAACTCCAAAAGCCCGGCTAATTACCCGCAGCAAACAGAGAAAGTGCGAACGAGTTACCCGGGAGCGCGCAAACGGGATAAAATGTTTTCACTATTTTCACTCTGGTCACCTCAATTTTTGTCCTAGGTCTTTCATTTTGGTCTCAATGGGTTCGTAATAAAATTCTCTAGAGGAACATTAGCATATAAAAAAAAACACCTGGTCACGCTCCAACCGCCGACGAGTTGAAGACGGGCCACGCGTTAGCCGTGAGTGAGCGCTCAGAGGCCTTCCTACTACACTCCCAATTCCCACCCTTTTCAAGCCTTTCTTTCGCAATTTTCTTCCTGGAAGGGCCTTGTTCATGATTACTATCCATCGTGGAGTAAGCGTAGATAGTTTCTAAAGCCGCAGTAAGAAATATAGCCACGGAAAATAGCCGAAATGTTCACACGTTTGAGATGCGAGGGGAGACGACATTGGTCACAACAGTGGAGCAAAGACAATGGGCCCACGGCGTGTGCCAAGCCGCCTGAGGGCCACGAGGCTCAACAAAGGAAATGGGAAGACATCGGCGCACATTTTAAAACCAGTCCCCAAAAAATCGGATACAAACCTGATTTTTGGCGAATTTTTAAAGTGGATGACGCAATGCTGCGTCATCCCCGGCATTACCGCCAGTAAACGGATGACGCAATGCTGCGTCATCCCCGAGCGAAAGTGTTAAAGCGGCCGGCTTTGTTCTTCCTGGGTACGTTGTCCTTTGCTGGGGTTTTCTTTTTCTTTTTTTCTGCCTGGTGGGGGGGATGGGTCTTCCTTGTGTCCCTTACCTCCAGTTATATTAGGGTCTTGACCTCCAGTGTTTGGTGGTACCCCCTGCTTGGTCCCCGTGAATGGACACATCCCCGGGGGGTCTAGTTTTAGAAGTTTGGTAGTCTTGGGTGCCGGTTAGCAGTACCCTACCTCGGCTTACCCTTAGCAATACCAGTCTAGGGGGTCCTGGGAACCCCCGTGGGGGCACATGGGGTCCAATGGATGTGACCCCTGGGTCCACTCTCGCCCTATGTGAGTTTGAGGGTTGCTCTGTCCCCTTGTCTCAGGCGACGCTCATTATTTATGCTGCCGTCATGCTGCATGTTAGGTTGGTGAC